TTGCAACTTTTTTTTTCACAAGGACTACAGACTTGTGCAAGGTCTTGTAAGGTCCATGTCCAGATTTATGGTCGGTGCCAAGATATCTAGGGTGAGACCCCATTGCCAAAAATCTGGATTCTGGAAGATAGATGAATTGGGCTACCTACAGCTTGCAGGTGGTAACACGCTCACAATGGCCAGTACGTCTGAAGGTAGTCCGCCCTGGTCCGCCCTGGTGCCTTGATTTCCCTTACTAGTCAGCCCCTGAGGGCACCTCACCGGGCCGGACAGGCACTAAATCTAGCCCCCTTCCAATCCGGAAGCGAAGAGAACCGTTTAACTCCCTGCACTAAATGGATTCTGACTGACCATACGCAACTGACCATTCACAGCTGGGTGGATGGCCAGTTTTGGCAATAAGCACTAAAACCCAGCCCCTGAAAAAAAAAAAAAAGATGTTTAACTCCCTCACTGAATGGATTCTGACTGACCATATGTGACGTACTGACTATTCAGACAGGCGGATGACCAGTTTTGTCTGTAAACATTGACAAGCACTAAATATAGCTCCTGGAAAAGGGAAAAAGACATTTAACTCCCTCCACTAAATGGATTCTGACTGACCCTATGCAACTGACCACTCCGTTGAGTTGATGGCCAGCTTTGGCAAAAAGCACTAAACCCAGCCCCTGAAAAAAAGGAAAAGGACGTTTAACTCCCTGCACTGAATGGATTCTGACTGACCATATGCAACTGACCGTCCAGCTGGTCGACCATAATGGTTTTATCAGAAGCTCCAGACAGTGACCTCTACCGATTAGAGGCCATTACGGGGACGATTATGGTCATCTGTTTACCAACAGTCTAGAGTTTGAAGCTCTGAATCACAACATTCCAGTTCAAGGTGGTGATTGGTCATTGCGCCAGCTGGTTCCTACAGAGCTTAATTCAAAATTCTGTCCTCCAATTCAGGCTGTCTTCCCAATTTGTTTTTTTGTGTGGAATTTGAGTAATAATTGCCATCAAATCTGTTAATTCTTGTTGGAATTGGGAAAGGACTCCTAAGAAAACAGATGTGAAGTTTTTGGGAGTTGACCCCCACCCCCTGGGCCTTTTGTCCTAATGCAACCTCTTAGTGCGAACATTTTATAAATCTTCTTCAGTTTAAGGAAACATTACATAGACTTTTTGGGGGGGAATTCAAAAAAGAAAAAAGAAATTGAGGCATTAAAATTGGGTGATGTTGAAAGCTTGAAGTTATCTCCCAAATTTTAAAATGTCATATTCAAAAATTTGAAAATAAGATATCTCCAGAATACTAAAAATGAACACTTTAACAACCACAGCAAGTTCCCAATTCTCAGTTTCCTCTTCTACTTCAATTCTGGCAGTATGCCATTTTACTTTCCTCTGAATTTTGAAACACCAGATTGTCCTCTTAATCTGACTCCGTGCCCTCCGGTAGCCCCCAAAGCACTCATGATTCTGTTACCTGTCAGAAGGTTACTGTAATATATGCCTCTCCTGGGTTACAAAAAAGTCCCCGAAATTCCAGGCATCTCAAAAGAGCAGCTCAGGTTTCCTGTCGGTTTGCCTAAAGAGACCATTCTCATTCAATTTGCTTGTGGTTTTGTAAAACAAAAATATGATTATGATATTATGTTTAGAAATTTCTCTGGCTTGATTTTTGTCGTCGTCCCCATTTTTTTTAAAGTTGGAGCTAACATGTAACATCTCCAGGATGAGAAATGTTAATTACGGTCGTTAACAGTTAGAATCAACATTTGCTGCAAGTAGTTGCTGTTGTAATGGTTCATTTATGGTCAACACAATTACTCTGTGGCATGCTTCTTTCTTTCGAAAGTAGATTATCGCTGACATTTAAGTGTAGAGCTCACGTGAATTAAGAGGTCAAACATTACAGATCAGAAGGATTTCAGAGAAGATTGTTTTAAAAGCACTGGACCAGAATTGAAACTAGCCGAAATATTTTTCTTTTCAGAAATACGCCACCCAAGAGTTATCCATTAACTGTTACCATATCTAGACATCATCATGAACTGTCATTTCTCGGAGAGGTCCACTTTTTCCTCCTCATCAGTCGTACACCTGTTTGCCATTTTCTCCCTTCTGTTAAGTACATTTACAAAGTAGCCTACTCCTATCCCAAGCATGCGCACGATTCCTTGGTTATTCTCCCCGTACACCCTAGACAATCCTTCGGTCATTCCCCCTTCAAGTTTCCCAAAGCATTACCATCAGTTTGTTACTGTACCTGCGATCTTTTTACAACCTGTTATCTTTGTCCCGGCCGTCAATTGCCCAAAATGAACAGTCTGCCTTCCTCTTTTGTGTGGGGAGGCCGATTGTCCTAAGTGACCGCAAGAGGGTGTTGTAAGTGTGGGCTATGTGGAATTCAGATGGGGTTGGAGAAAGGTTCAGTGTGTGATAAGAAGTCCAGTGTAATATTCACTGAGTTACCAGTGGTGTTGTGTGTGTGTGAACACATCAGTGAAAAGAGGGGTAATTTTGAAAAGACACAGAGAAACTTTGAACTTAACTGTACGATAAAAAAATAGTAAATATTGTTCGTAAAATACATACATGTACTCTAGACTATAGGCCTATGGGTATTACAAAGTCAAAATGAATCAAAGAACTGTACCTTTGTTGTGGTTGGCCTGAAAGTCAATCGCATTTTCCTGCCAGTTATGAAAGTTCTACCCCAAAAATGTAAGTTCTACCCAAAAAATGTACACCTGGGAATTGTGCAGCATCTGAGAATAAAATACGAAAAGAAATTTATCATTCAGTGCCTGTTTGAAGGAAACTGTAGGTTTAATGAATAAATATTGATATTGGTATGTAGGAAGAATTCTGTCTTATTCAGAGAACCTCTTCAAGGCATTGTTCCATTTGTGTGCAGTCCACACTGATTTCCAAAACATTGTATTGGTATTACAGATTATGAAAACCCCCCAGAAGTAGTTACTTATGGTTGTGGGCTCCCACCTCATAACCCAATTCACAACTTTTTATTATTTCCAATAAACAGTTTGTACTGTTACGAGCTAAACATCTGTTGCTGATTGCAGTTGATTCAGTTATAGTTGGCCTCAGGTGGACAATTGTTCTGATAATTCACAGTCCTACATAAATGTGCTGCTGACACTGTCATTTCAAGAAACAAATTCAAAACAATTCAGCGAATTCCTCGAATGTGAGGCAAGTAAAGACCAAAGCAAAAGATGAATTTCTTTTAAGATGTATTTTTCCACTCTTCCCGTCGTTTTTCAAGCAGGAGACTTATAATCCTCCATGTTGATGAAAGCTTGCTCCTCTTTTTTGATAGGAGTTTTAAAAAGTTTTTTTTTTTAAATGTAACATTCCTTGTACGTTTCAATGTATTCAAATGGGGTTGTAAAGGAGGGTGTAAGAATTGACCGCAGCAATTTTTGTTGTTTTACATTTGGAGGAGGCATATATTGCATTATTGTTTTAGGAGAAATGTAGCTTTTGTGCTGAGCTTTATGTCACTTTATTCCCCTTCAACTTGGTTAAAGTCTGAATCCGCTGGCACCTCACATTTTCCCCACACGGCACTGCTCGGGTTAATGTCATGGCAGAGGTAGCAGGAGTTAGAATTACAAGCTGCAAGCACTAACAAACAAACCTCGGTTCCCGCCGCTTGTTGATTTTCAAAATTCAAATTGATACGTTCTTACCCAAGTCGCCCTCCCCAGAGAAATTAAAAAGAAAAAAGGCTTTCTTGATCTTACCCAACACGGGGGAAGTGGTGTTGCTGGTAGAAGATTGAGTTGGGGACTGACTGACCTGCGGGCAAATCCATTTGTAGCAAATGCTGCCACATGCATTCAACAGTCTCCCTGACATGCAACAGGTGGAGGGGTTATTAGGGAAGTTGTCTCTGAAAATATTTTTTCGGTGGGTTCGGGAGAGGGTACAGCCCCAGTTGGCTTGGGCGACCGACCGGTTCCCCGCCCACACGCAATTTTCAAATTTCTCCTGGCGGAATCATCTTCGAAAGTGCAACTTAAACATCTCTTTTTTGTCGTGCCGCATGTGTTAAGGGCATTAGACTGGGTAGCTTTTTGTCATCTTTTCAGGCTCTCTTTGGGTTGCGCTTGATCCCGTGACCAGACGTCTTAGCCTTATAACCTATCATCCAGGGTCTGGACTACAGCCCACGCATTATACCCTAACGAAATACCCATAGCTGGGTATATCTTCAACAGCTGCGCGCTATAATGGGTATTTGTTCCCTGGGATATCTGAAGCAAGGGAGAAAACACCGCCCGGTTTTTCGATCAACTGTTTGACGGTGGTATCACGTCAGCAGAAAATCAATGCAAATTGACAAGTCTAAGCGCTTTATAATCTGGCTCTTTTCCTTTGACCATTGTGAACAATGGGTGTCTCACAAATCAGTCTCTCGTCCCAGTTTTTTAAGAAGAGGCAGAAAGAGTTTGTTGGTTTTTTTTTTACAAATTCAAACTGCCTTGATGTAAAGGGTGAGGCATTGGTGAACATTTCTGTAGTTTTGTATTTAGGAAACATTCTGGTAAACCATCATGAAATTAAATCAGTTTTTAATCCCTATTGTAGCTTCTATGTTGCCATAATAATATGTCAGCTACCAGGCTGATGCCAGAAATTAGTCACTTTATTTCTGTATCTTGCAGGCATGCAACTTTTCCTCGGATCCGCTGATTTCCAAATTTTTTACTTCTCATGAATGCCATTAAAAATTGAACAACACTGTACAAAGTCTTGTGTGGTTTTGAGTTTCCCTCGTTTTTTCTAAGTACCCAGTTGCATGCCTGATCTTGCTTGCTAAAAAAAGAAGAAAAGTTAACTAAATAAGATGGGTGCCATTACACCATTACGCTTTTCAGTGGTTTCAGCCCATTCAAATTCTGCTTTGAATAAATTTTCCACTGTATTTGAACTCACACGTTTTCTTCTCTTTCCCCCATTTTTCCTCTCAATCTTGATAGGCTTGATCGCATCGTCGTGGACATAGTTGAAGGCAAATATGAGACATACCATGTGATGTTCCTTGGAACAGGTAAGAACATAAATCCTCTGGATTTTTTTTTTTTTTTTTAACAGGAAAGTGGGTGGTAAGGGGTAGCAGACTACCCCTACAGTGTATCATTTAACATCTGTGGATCTGCGATTCATGCCAGGTTTTTTTTGGCTTAAAGACCTCTGAGGCCTATTGAAATAAACAAAAAATGACAAAGTTAAAGTGTAGGGGACCCACCGGCCAGGTTCTCAACAAAAGACAAAACTTAATTTCAAAAATACCTACAAAGAAGTGCCAGTCACTTCTAAAAGAGGCCAATTGAGGGGGCTATATAGCTGTGTAACAGTCACATCTGCCATAGGTTGCACAACGATTAAGTGTCAATTTGTACACCTCAATCGTTCAACGTTCAACTGTCCCGTGACCCGCCCTAGATTAGGAGTTACCTATTTCTATATTTATCCTTGGGTGGAAATCTCGGCCCGGGATGATAAGCCAGTCGTAAGCTAGCAGCTACCAGAACTAGTACTACTGACCCCACCCATGATCCTTTTTAAATAGAGATGCATCCATGGAAGCTGTCAAGATAAAGACACCTAGAGCTTGTCTTTCTCCATGTCTGGGTTGCCAGCCTTGCTTCATTCCCTCTTCTGATAACAATGACGTGAAAAAGGGGGGGAAAAGATGGTTTGAGAATAAAGTTAAGAAAATAATATATGAATTGAAGGTGTTCGTCCAGAGATCACCAAAGTTAAGTGTTGCATATTGTTTACTATTACAGATATTTCAAAGTCTGGATCCTATACAATTTACATAGTGTAGAAAATGGGGGAAAACCCTGATAATTTACATCTGATGTTGCAGCGATATTTTTCAATGATGGTTGAAAAAGGTCATGCAAGGATCCAAAATGTTATGCCCTCTAATTTTCTTGACTTGTATATATTTCAGGTCAATTCAGTCAGTTAACAGTTTGCAGCAGTTTTATTCATTTTCATAATCCTTCTAACAATTATCATGTCATGAGCAACGTGGTTAAGAGCCGAAAAGGACACATTCCCAACAGTGTGCCCCTTTAGCCTCATGCAATCCTTCCTTTTGGCCAAGCTTTGAGAGGTGAGGAAAACCACCTCAAAAAACATCCTACACCGCTGTTTCACCAGGCCAGAAGTTTGCAGCATAGCCTCGGGGATTAGACAAGAGCAGCCAGACCATGCTATCTAGCTTCTGTCTGCCATTGCATGTAGAGCAACCAAGCTTACGGTATCCCCAGGAGGTACCACTGGGAAATCCGAAATGCCCTGACTGGTAGTGGGTCGTGATCAGGTGGTCTCGGGTTTGAAACAAGTCACAGCTGGCTCTGGTGAATCGGTCCCCCTTCCATCCCACCTTCCTTTTGTTCCAATTTCCGGCAAGGAAATGGCCATTAATTTCCCCTTTATTGATAGTTATGAGCTTGTTGAGCACGCAATTGTGTGCGGTTTTGGAACCGTGGCTGTTAGTGTGCTGCAGAATCAACGTCAGGGTTTTATAAGAAACAGGAAAATATCTTTAGGGGAATAGGAACGAGCGTAATTCGCAGCCAACATTTGATTTTAAAGAAAACAATTTAATGAAAAATATTTTTTTTAGTCCATGGCACGTGTTATGCTTAAGTTAAAGGCCTGTTAATTTAATTGTGTGTGACCTATTTCTATTCTGATAGTTGTTACAGAAAATTTGCTTTTTCCCCCAAATGAAAGTCATTTTCGTTTGGAAAATAAAAAAAAAGACCTGTAATTTTTTTATTTAAGAAATTCTATATAATTGAAAAAAATCAACAAGTTAAATCTTCAAAAAATAAATAATTTTTTTTTAGGCCCCCACCAAGGAAAAGAAATAATGAACCAAATTTAGTCTGTGCTGTGTAAATTTGTCATAAAAAGTTTGTAATGATACTAAACCAATTTTAAACCATCCAATCGCAGATAGTTGAAAAAAACTGGGCCTAAGGCTCAGTTTGGATTAAAAATGTGAATGAATATTTGTACAGAGCTCCAGGCAAGGTTATCCTGTCACTAAATCAGCAAAAAAAAAATGAAACAAAATGTGCTTCTTTAAATCATTTCCAAATTATACATTTACCAGAAAATATAAGAGGAGAGGCCATTAATTTAGTAATGCCCAGCGGTGTAGAAACCAGAGCCCTTTTGCCCGTAGGTTGACCGACTGGCCCAGATTGGTCCTAGCTTCCAGACAACGACTCTCCCCCCAAAAAATAAACCTCTGTCTGGGCTCTCAGTGGCATATTAAATGTTTGCAGAAGGACAGTTGATACTCAAGCTAATTTCACAGCATGGGCGATAGGTCAAGTAGTGGTTTCTCTCTTTATAAGGAGTGAACTTGCAGCTATAGGGTGAGGAATGCTTTCCGGAACTTGATCTCGATTTGGTTTTTATTGGACGGTACCGTGATCTTTCTTTGGCGGGAATGTTGCAGTCAGGAGAAATGAGATTAGGCTTGCCGCGTCCAGCTAGATGGTCTCAGGACATTCTTATGCTGGGTGACCCAGTCAGTCATTTGGTGACTCAGTCAGTCAGTCAGAGACTTTGTTATCAGTCAGAAGACTGTAGACTGGCCTTTCGTGTCCGGCAAAAATTAGTTTGATTCAGAGACCATTTGAAAACAAATAAATGAAATGATGTGGGTAGTGCTATGTATATGAAACTTCAATTGGAGTTCTATAGATTCGATTCAATTCATGCCACATAAACCCATAAACCCTAGCCACCACCAACTCACACTAACCAAATACCCCAGACATCTCATCGGAATGAATGTAAGTATCCAGACGCCACTTCCTTGGTTGTCTGCGAAGTCAACAGAGAGTCAAGAAGAATTTCCAATTATTTTCTAACAAAATTGGAGATGTTTCTCAGTCCCAGATTCATGTCTTTTCAACATTTGTGCAATAACTGACCTCCATTGAGGTGATGAAAGTGGCGTCAGGATGTAACATTCGTCTCCTCTGTACCCAAAATGCAAGGGGGACTAACCCCTCTCCACACCTCCCCTGAATGCACCCAGTTTCACCCATCACCCATTGATCCCTACACCCATTGATCCCTACACCCATTGCAACCCCATGGTTTAGAGACACTACCACGGCACAGTGATTTAGATACAGCATCTGGCCCCATGCAATTTCATAGAGCCACTAAGGAGAAACGTATGCCCAGCCAATGTGTGTACTAAAGCCAAACAAGCAGACTACCAGTGAACAGCAAAATAAATGATATGAACATTTTGGCTGGTGACCCGTTTTTCTAAGCAAATCTGTTCTGTGCTGAGCCGAATTCTGTGCATAACATTGGCCCATGTACTGTACCCACAATACCAAGCAGTGGAGGTCCATTATTTCCTTGAGGAAACAGCCTTCCTGCGTGGGTCATCTTCCGCAGTTAAACCCCATCCAGGAAATCAGATCTCCCTAGTCCGGATGATGAGAGTAATCTCCATGGTCTCATCAATCACATGATAATACACATGATAAGACATTTTATCTGATGGCATTTTGAAAGGGATACTCTGGAGGAAAAAATGGATAATGGCAAATCCACCCAAACAGGACAATAGCAGATCGAGCACAAAATGATGAAGAGCTCACGTCTAGTGTGATTTCCTTATTATTGGTACCCGTTGCCATGGTTTGACCACAAAATTCACGTCAGTCCCCTCATTCAGGAAAGCCTGGTTATTTCAACTGGCGTGACACTGTTCACACCTTGGAAATTCTCCCCAGATACTTTTTCCTTGACGGCAAGATATCCAATTGTTTTTTGGAATGTGGATTTTTCCAGGTGTGTGCACTATTCCGGGGTGAAAGTCCTGTGTGGAACTGGAAACCATCTGCTCGGTTCAGTTTAGATGATCCTTAGATTGTTTCAGCATATCTCTTTTCCTTTTTTAACGGTCTGTGTGTTTCTCCCAGTTGGATGGTGTCAAACTTTTGACCCATTGCTGCATCTGGCTCTGTCTTTGTTACGTGATATCATCTAATATTTTGTGTACTTTTTGTGCGTGTGTTTATTTTGCAGAAGACGGCAAGATCACTAAGGTAGTCAGGTTACCGGGTACGGACACGTCTTGCGAGATTGAGATCCTGTGTGTTACGCCTGTAAGTATGGGGATTTAGAAGAGTTTTGCTTCAATCTGTGTTTTTGGTAGCTAGCAGGTTGATATTAGCTGACCGATTGGCTGGCTAGCTGGCTGGTAAACTGGCCGATTGGCTGGCTGGTAAATTGACTGGCTAGCTGGCTGGTGAACTGGCTGGTAAGCTGGCCGGTTGGCTGGCTGGCTGGCTGGCTGGCTGGCTGGCTGGCTTGTAAGCTGTCAAATTGGCTGAGTAGTTGGATGGTAAACTGGCTGATTGTGTAGGGAGGCAGCTTGTAAACTGGCTAGCTAGCTGGTTGATTGATTGGCTGGCTAGCTGGCTGGTAAACTGGCTGATGGCTGACAATTTGGCTGATGGCCATCTATCTGGCTGATTGGGTGGCTAGCTGGTTGAGAAGCTGGCTGATTGTCTGGCTGGAAACTGACTGGCTAGTTGGCTGGTGAAATGGCTGGCTAGGTGGCTGGTTAGTTGGCCGGTTGGCTGGCTGGCTCAGTGGCTGATAAGCACTTATTGGCTGGCTAGCTGGCTGGCTGGCTGGCTGGCTGGCTGGCTGGCTCCCCGGTTAGCTGTCAAATTGGCTGGGTAGTTGGCTGGTAAACTGGCTGATTGGCAGGGAAGCTAGCTGGTAAACTGGCTCGCTAGCTGGTTAACTGATTAATTGGCTGGCTAGTTGGCTGGTAAACTGGCTGATTGGCAGGCTATCTAGCTGGTAAGCTGGCTTCTAAGCAGGCTTAGTAAGCAGGTTGGTACCCTCCCCCAGCTATCGTCAAGCTTGCAGTCTACCATTGGCCAGCTGTTCAAACTCAGCTCCAGTTTCTTTGCCTAATTTGCCAGACCTCCTCCTTTGTCAACGTCATTTTTGAAGAAAAACAGAACGATATCATATTTTTTGTCAGATATTATTCAGAAAGAGTAGAGAACAGGCCTCTAGATGAATAATAACGTGAAACAACTGACTCGAACCATCCTATACCCAGATTGCCTTACGTGTCACGTAGTCCACACCTGTTCAATATATCCCCACACAGCATGCCCCGCTTCATTTCCCTTCGCTGTGCGTGGTTCTTTTCTCCACCAGTACTTTCGGTAAAGTTCAGCTAAGCCTCCATGTGTGAAATGCCCATTAAGTCTTTTCCCTGTTGGGAAAACTAGATCCAGGGAGCTTTATCAATTTTGTCTAAACCCCGGCTCTCAGGCTGTGTCTCACACATTTCAACTTTGTCTGATGTGTCGCCCAACCATTTGTCCAAATACATCTCAAAATCAGTTTTCTTTTTGTTTGAGTTGACGTGTGTTCTTTTTGCAAGTTTTTTTTTTTAATTTTTAAAAGTTGAACATCGAAATAGAGTGAAGCGGGTTTCGAACCTGCGACCTCCGGATTGCCGTTCCGGTGCTCTACCAACTGAGCTATCCAGCCCTATGTTGGCGGTTCCCCATTTTGTCAATGTCTTTGTTCAAGAGGCGCTAGTCAGAAGCCATAAACTTGATAAATTTTTTCAGACCAGTGTGATTTTATCAATTTTGTGGTTTATTTTGCTTACCAAAAATAAGTATGTTTCTGTAGTATTTGTTTTTGATCCTGTGAAGATTTTCAATCAGCCTGCCTCTTGTTTGTTACATTTTTCCTAATAATCGACTCATACTTTTTCTCCAGGATTATATCTAAGTGTTTGCCTTTCTCGTAAAAAGAAAGTTGAGGATAGGTTAGAAATAAATGATATTTTAATTTTTTTATTTGAATCATAAATTTCAATTCACTGTGGAATTTTTTGGGGGTCTCTTTGCAGAATCGACAGTGCCAACCACTGAAAAGGATTGAGCTTCACTCAGAGATGGTAAGTTCTGACAAAAAAAAAGGAACCTCATCTCAGAATCATTAAGTTCCTGTAAGTTTCAGAAATGGATGGATTTGGGGGTTAGTATTTTATAGCGAACATTAAATTGCCCGTGGCAACACTCGCCGGTTTAAATTTTGGTGTTCATAGATGCTGGGGGGGGGGGGGGGGACAAGAAAAAATGCTGTTCTTGTAGTCTGGTACCCTGACCCTGCTTCAGACGAAACGGAACAATTTATAGGTGTCGGGGAATTGTCAGTTCAGGGAACCAGACTAGCCGGCTTGCACCCGTTCACTGATGTGTAACCGATTGCAAACAAAATATGGACTAACTAAATTTGGTAACTTAGGGGTAGTACTTGAAGAAAAAAGTCATTTTTTCACAACAGTGGTCGGCCGACCACCATTTGAAATTGATACAAAAATACCACCTTTCTTGAAAATGACAGCACACATGGTGCCATGATTTCTCAGGATGCTTGAGACTATTATTCACTTACAGTCAAGTAAGGTATTTCATAATAATTTGGTAGTTTTTTTTTTTTGGTGTTTGCAAATGTTGTATATTACAGTTGCCGTGAACCAGTCACAATCAATGTACGTTGAGTGGTGCTTTGGCTGGTAACGTGCTCGGCAAATATTCTCTACACTTGAAACCTCCATGAAATTGACCAGAGGCCCGGAGGTGCAATTGATCTCACGAGGGGAAAATGAGTAATCCTTTAAGGACTAGACATCCAAACTGTTTGTTGAGTTTTGACAATATGGTAGCACTGCCCCCTGCCACGGCCCCCCTGACTTCTGAACAGAAGCGTAGCGAGAAATTCTGAAAACGGAAGGTCTTTACTCTATCAAAACATGGCCTAATATTGACATTGATAGAAGTGGATGCCGAAGCAGCTACACTTAATAATACTCCAAGTCCTGCGGGAACTGACAGCCAAGACTTGTAGAAGGGTGGTTTTCATTTCCGTGAGAAAAAAAAGAAGAAGACTAAACAAAACATAGTTTGCAGAGATGCCACGGTATAAATCCTGATTCTGTGGAGAGGTTTCCTCGTTAGTAAAGACGGTGATAAATATCTTCTAGAGATAATATCTCCTGCCGAACATGTTTTTGATTCACACAGAGCGTGTTTTGATCCTTATCTGAAGAATGGGAATGTTTTTGATTCTTATCACGAGGAAAGGAAAAAACATGGGGACACGGAAGCACATTAGTTAGCGAGGAGCCAGCAGATGGTTTAGAATCGGAAACCGGGAGGATTGAGTTTTGATCAGTCCCACATTGCGAAGTGTGTACGGGACATGTTTTGCCAGCGGAGTGGTTGGACGTGATCTGTCAAATGAGGATGCTTTTTTCCCAGTGGGATTTGTTTTTTCTGTTTCCAAATAAAAATGTGTATATCCTGACGTGACCTTGGAAGCATTTCGTTATTTCGACGTTCAACATTGATGGAACAAAAACACATTCGTTGTGTTGATTAATACTTTTGTTAGGGATGTAATTAGAGGAAATCAAAGATTTGGCGCAGTCATTACAAAGCTTCTGGACCTTGAAAGTCTGCGGGATTGTGCTCCCCGCCTAAACAAAAAAAACAGGGTTATTTATTCATGTTCTCCGTAATTAGTGGAACGTGAGCCAAATTAAGACAGGTGTATGAATCAGGCAAAATCTGGCAACATCTGCCAAAATAGCTTGAAGATCATGCCTTCTCAGTTCCGAACTTCATTTATCTGTGTAAACTAATTTGCCGACGATTTGTCTTCCCTTTCCCCTTGTAGGGCGCCCTCTATGTAGGGATGTCGTTCGGTGTCGTGATGGTGTCGGTACAACGGTGTCACATGTACACCACAATGAAGTAAGTTGAGTGAAACACTTCCACAGCTTCTATTGTTGTGGGTTTTTCTCCAAAAAGAAAAGGTATCAACTTCTGGAAAAACAGAACTTTTTTTCTTTGATTTTGTTGATTGTTTTTGTTCTTAAGTTAAGTTTTGTTTAGGATGCTTAAATCATCATGGTATTTATCAGAAATGAACAAATTGCCTTGTTTTTTCTCCTGTTAAAAAAAAGTCGGGGTTTTTTTTTGGAGGAGGGATGTGACTCCCTGTTTTAACTAAGGTGATGTTGTGCCTAAGTATTAGTAAATTTGCCCCGTGAGACTTCTTCCTACTTTGTGTATTAGTACAGTGAATTCATCTAGATTTTTTGATTAGGCCAAAAAAAAAAAGTCTCTGGTTTCTGGTATGGAGCTTGCCCCAAAAGTGGTGCGGCGACGCGGCTTTTTTTTTTTTACCTGATTTTTTTGCTTCAAATGTCGGCTGATGACTGCAAATGGTGCCCGACTAAACTTAGTACAAATAGGCCTATATGGGATTGGGAGTCCAGAGAGGCCACATAAAGCTTATTCTCGACCATAACCCCACCTAAAAACATGTTAAAATTGTGCAGCAGCAGAATTCCAGTCAAACCAGTGAGTTTGGCGGTTTTGAGACATCATCTTTCGTTGAAAAAAAAACTTTTTCATTTTGCCGACGTGCATGGCTACGGCGACGCGCGCATACCAGAAACCGGAGACTTTTTTTTTTGGCCTTAAGGAACTTCAAGTTGTAGAAAAATGAATTCATGAAAAAAAAAAAAATCATAGGCCTACTTACGATAGGCTATGTAAAAAAACTATGATATTAGAATTGACTGCTGTGACCTTCTGTTTTCTATGCAGATTCAAAAACTGGAGCAAATCTAGAATTCCTCTTTAAGACCCAATTGTCACACTTCCAAGTATTTTGAATTGATTTTCGTCCGTGAGGTTTATTAATGTAATTATCTTGTCAGACGGCATTTCTGTAAAGGTCAGGGGCGAGAAGATTCACTTCTCTATTGCAGATTTTCTCATTACGACCTTTCTCTTAGTGGCTAACTCAAGGCTTTAGTCCTTAGCTCTCGACCCCCGCCCAATCGTAACAATTTCCCCTGCGGGGCACAAAGTTGTTCCTGTTTTTTGGACGAGTGCCATCGTTGTTCCAAAATTTATGACCATCTTGACATTTTCACAGATTACTGGGGTTCACAGAAAATGTCAAAAGTACGTGCGTAAACTTTGGGGAGAATAAAAATAGAAGATTGACAAAACTTTGTAATGGAACAACATCGCGTCTCATTTTTCTCGGACAGGCATATATGATCATTTGCTTTTCATACATTTTGCTCACTTTCATTAATAACACCACTCAAAATCCAATGAAGACTGTTCAAAGCCTAACTTGTTAACGTTTCAGCTCAGTGGACATTACACTTTTTGAGAAAACATTGAAAAGCCGTGCGCAACCTTTTGATCACAAAAGAGGAATTCGTCAGTAGAACTCTTTGATTTCCAACGATCTGTCGACTGATCGTTGGAAATCACCTACATTTCTTGATCTCTTCTAAATGACAGCGAGCCAGATTGAACCATTTCATGGGGTGTTTAGTACCTGTGAGATCTATAATCCAAGTAAGCCTTTTGATAATAGTTCAGTAGGTTACTTGTGGGATGAATGTCAATGGTCCTATATGCCTTTAAACATAGTGAAAATGATGTTGTGGTGGGTCAATCATGAGGTCAGGTCATTGGAGCCAACACTGGTCTTCCTGCTTACATTAACTTCAAATTTCTAGGCGCCATTAAATTTCAGCCATAATTTACTCCAGCGTCGCTGGTCTTCTTTCACTTTTTACTGAAATTTAATTTTCCGACAAATATGCGCTGTTTATCATCATAATTTTGCGGTTTACAAAAAAAAAATGTTTGCAAAAACTCGGGGAGTCCTCTAAGATCAGCTTGATTCGATTAGTCAAAAATCAAATCGACGTTTTCATAAGTAATACCAACTGAAACCACCGACCGCTCTCCAGGGGCCGCCTGTGTTTTATTGAGTCATTTTGTTGGTAGCCACATCTTGATATACCTGTGCATGGTCAATGTTTTTTGGGGGGAGTTTTCCGGAATAGGTCGTGGCATTTTGACATGAGTAAGGTGGGAACCGATATCGGGTAACGGGCTACACGACATAGCTCAATTTGGTTTCGAGTGATACAACAGTTTTATAGCCTTAGGCACAGGGTAAAAATATACGGGTATTCAATGCCGTTTTGGATTTACTCCTACATAGCACCAGTTGCGGAGCGGATGGGGCGTGGGTGTTAAAGGCAGTCTAACCCCCGCCCTCTTTGGGCTTAAAACAAAATAGCAAAATCATGCAGAAACAAGTATCAGATGCCTACTAACACCCCCATCCCCCTCCCCGTCCCCCTTCTTGATAGCCACACCCCTTGTCCCGAAGCTCAAATTTGCAACTTTTCCTCGGATCCTCTGAACTTCCTCGTTTTTGTCTTCTCATGAGTGCCATTACAAATTGAAAAACGTCGTACAAAGTCTTGTGTGCTTTGGAATTTCCTCGTTTTTTCCCCCTCTAAATTCCCAGTTGCATGCCGGAAAGCTGGATCCGTCCCTGGGTACTAGTGGAAAGTTGCGTGGTTATTGAAATGGAAGTTTAGTTTGGTTTTAGTTTTGGTTAAAAAAAACCCCAAAGATTGTAGCTTGTTGTGTGCCAGCCAGCAACTTCATGCGGCATGCCAATTTGGTTTGTAGTATTTTTCAAAGAAGTAGGATTTTTTTTGTCAATGTGGATTCACCTAACAGTTCCAATTGAGCTCCACCTGTGAACAAGGTTTAACTAAGAGCTGAAAATGTATGTGAACACAGTTCACTTTCTATATTGCAACTGTTTTTGGGGCCTACATTGAACCAACATTTACATTAGGTCATTCGTGTATAATGAATAACCTCTTTTTACATAATGTTTGTTTTTGTCTTCTTTCAGGGAATGTGTGGAGGCCAGAGATCCCTACTGCGGCTGGAACACACAAACTGACGCCTGCACGACAAGACCACAAGAGTAAGTTTTTCTTTTTGTCCAATTTGGATTTCTTTTCTTTCTTCCCTCGAAGATGTACTGTCAGTGCTAGTTTTGAGTTTCAACTCAAAAATAGATTCCTTTTTGTAGTTACTTTTTTTAATTCGCCGTTGATTGAGATGAGAAATCTGTCCACTTTAGGTTATGGAATAATAACATTACAAAGTTCTAATTGTTTGCAACTTGATAATAGTTCAGTTCTCGTAGTTTCGACTGGGAACCATTTTACTGGAACAGTTGTGGATCAGGCTTAGACTAAGACTTAGTTTCAACTCTTTTGTTTTACAGTAAGGACACCTTGGACCTTTGGATACAGGAAATTACAGCGTGTCCGGTCGTCAACAGAGCAGGTGAGATTTCAGGAGGAAATCAGAGATTTCCAGAGAATTGCCATCAGGATAGATAATGGAGGCAGCATACAAGTAGTGTGAATTGAAATCCATGCAAAAGTGCAACCCAGCAATAGAAATGGAAAATGTTACTCTTACTGAAAGACACGTTTTCGCTCTGCACCCTACCCTTAGCTCAGGTGCATTTTAGTCATGGGAAGATGCTTGAGGTTTGCGTCCATTCATTGGAAATTTAGTCATCCATTCTCCGGACCACAATTGCACCCGCAGTGAGTCCTTTGCATGCATTTGTGAGTCAACCACACAGCACCAGTTCCTTGACCGAGTCAAGCTTTTTGAAAATTTCATCGTCATCCACACATTTTATGTGCCAAATTATTCCAAAAGGGTTGTAAGATCACAGAGTTGGTCGTTTCTAACTGCTTTCTGATCCCCGTTTTGGACTAGCGTTCAAGTCGCACCCATCCAAATTATGTTGAAGCTTGAATTAAAATACAGTGAAATCTTGATAAGTCAAACCTCAAGTGAACAGGTTCCCTTGAGAAGCAGAGTTTTGAGTTAAGCAGGGTTGTATATCATTGTTATACTACTGAAGGGAATAGATTCTTTGTTTGTCTAAACAGTTGTTGCAAGTTTGACTTATCTAGATTTCACTGTATATACAAAGTTTTCCATTTGAAACAGTGAGAAGTGGCTACGTCGAAAAATTGACCATTGCGGTCATTTGGAGGTAGTCAAGGAGTCTAGTCAATGAAAAGTAATATTCAAAGTCGGCTGTCTGCAACAGAATCTATTTCGGTCGAGGAGAGTCGCTCCTAAAACCATTTGCCTCGGCGTGACTCTGAGTCGCAAGTCTGAAATGGGTGTGAGACAGTTTCCTGAAGTTTTTATTTTCTCACTTACCGTCTGTCAATTGCTAACTCGCCAGTTGACGGCGACTACGGCAGCTGGTCCGACTGGTTCCCGTGCCACGATCCCACCGGTGACTCCAAGTGCCAGTGTCGCCGTCGCGTCTGCGACACGCCGGCCCCCAAGTGCGGGGGCTTACCGTGCCAGGGGGAGAGTATCCAGGTCTCAAACTGTTCAGGTACAGCCGTTGTCGTGAGAAATTCAGGTACATCATGGCCTCTTGAGGAGAATGCCAAGTTTTTTTTAATTTTCTTCTCGTTTTGTTGTTTTTGTTTGTTTATTTGTTTGTTTGTTTGTTTGTTTGTTTGCTTGCATCCCATGGCTTTGGTGCATGTGCATTGACGTACGAACTTAATATATCTGAAACAATGTTACAAACTTTGTGGATTCCACGAAAGGTGCTTTGCACACTAATCATTGGCACTTATTTTTACATATTGGGATCTGAAGGGATATCTTTATTGCTGCAAAATATTGCTGCAAATACATCTTTACAGTTCATTTCAGTAGTATTCTGCTGTTTTTTTTATGCAAGATCGAAGCCCATTTGCATTTTAGTATCTCAGTTATGTGTTTGCCGATTTGATGCCAAATGTACTGTATGTAATTCAAGAACGTCAAGTTGACCAAAAATATTTCCCATTTTCTACATTTCCACCAAAAATCTGCCTTGTTTGTTACGAGATGAAGTCACTTTATCAAAAAAAATACAGGTTTTTTTTCAAACAATAACATGCAAGCCAAAGAACTAATACAGCCCCCAAAAAGTCTGTGAACTCTATTTCCAGATTGATTGTCAAATGCTTTTTTTTTTTGTGGTAACATTCAGGAAAAATATAACGGGTCTTTTGAAAGTTTCATCAGAGTCAATACCTGATCACATTTGACAGTTCCTTAATTGCAAAATTGATGCCCAGGAAGACGCACGTCTCCTTTTCTTTCGGAAATCTCAATTATCCCATCACCGGCACATGCTTCACGCCTCACACCAATAACATACTCACGGCCGATAATTTGAATGTTGGGTCCTGGCCTTCGGCGAGGTAATGTTATAACCTATGTGTGCTGAGCGCTTTCCTGAGTAAGATTATGATTTTTTTCTTTTCGAAAGCTCTTGGGAAGCATTCCGCATACTGTGTTTTACAGGTAACATTAGTGGAAAGTAAAACAAAAATTTGAAGTTTGGGTCGCACCCTTCGGTGAGGTAGTTTATAACCTACGTAAATTGAGCACTTTCCTGCGTAAGGTTATGAATCCCCCCCCCCCCCCGAAACCTTTTTGGAAGCAGTGTGCACAGATCCCCCTGTGTTTTACACATTAAATTAATAATAAGTAAAACATGGTGTGAACTTTGACAGCTTTGACAAATTAGAAGAAACTATTATAAGCGGAAAATATCGTTAAGCGGAACTCAGCCAAGTACCGGTGACAACCAATACCAATGCATGACATTTTGGCTGGTAAATGTGATATTTTTTTTCTGAGCTATTTTTTCTGTGCTAAGCAGCATGACATTGGCCTTTGATGCTAAGTTTCTGTTAAAGTTATGCTGAATGCAGCTAATCACTAAATGCTTGCATGAAGACTGTTTTTTATTTAACTGCTCCACAAAGTGGTAACCAACCAATTCTAAAATACTAGATCAGTTCATAATAGTTAGGCGTTCTGGCAAAATGAGACAGAACTTGGCAGAGGTGGAAATGAAGGTTTGCGGGTATTTATAGGGAAGAGAATAAACTCCTCTTTACGATACTGTTTGTTGCACTTCGCTCGGGCATGCCGTTGACAAGTTATGACTGTTTGCAGTTTACATTTATCGACATGTCAAAAACAAAATACTGAGAAAGAGGCCTTTGAAGTTTCAAGGATTTGTGAAAATAAAAGATGCCAGTTTATTTTCCTTAAAAACACTTTTATTGCATGATTTTTGAACAATTTCTTTAAAAGATGTGTAGTAGACGTATCAAAGATTACAAAAATCAAAAAATCTGAAAATCGAAAAAAAAACACAAAAAAAATCAATTTTTTGCAATTTTCTCCACGGTTTTTGCCTAGTTCTGTCTTTTTTTGCCAGAACACCTCACAATTACATAGTTAAAAGTTTATATATAGAAAACTGGTTAACAAACCTTTAAAGGCACATAGGACCATTGGCTTCTCATGCATATTGTCTGTTTCCAATAATAACACCACTCAAAATCCAAAGAGGAATGTTCAAAACCTAATGTGTTGAAGTTTCAGCTCAGTGGATATTACACTTTTCGAGAAAACAGTGAAAAAACAAGCACTATGTATTGATCACGAAACACGATACTGTCAATAGCTTTCTTTATTCCAAAAATCAGTCAATTGACTGATCGTTGGAAATCACCTACATTTCTTGATTTCCTCTAAATGACAGCAAGCCAGACGGAATAATTTCACTGGGTGTTTAGTACCAGTAGGATCTTTAATTCAAATAAGCATTTGGATAATAATTCGGTCGGCTGCTTTTGGGATAAATGCACATGTTAACATACAAGCATACTACCAGTGATCGCGTTCATCATTTTCACGTACCTGGATTACCATCGATCCACCCTGTGGCATGAGAATAGCTTGTGACAATTGCGGGCTAACCACCGAGCCCTAACCGACCCCCTGCCCCATCTTAACCACACGCACCGCAGCCGGAAAGATGAATCATGTTAAAAACCGAGTGAATCATCGACATCTCCTTAGCAAAATGTTTAAGCTGTAGTGTCACAAGCTCAGATCCGAGCTGCGCTGATTGAGCGTTCAGACACTGGAAAGATAAAAAGGATTCGGGCTCCAGTTCCCACCCTGATGAATTCTGCACACACACAAAAAACCAATAGAAACTCAATCGCTGGCATTTTAAAGGCAATCGTATACTGTCTTAGTCATAAACGAAAGTGTAGTTTATTGGACCAACCCAAAAGGAGGGCAGTTACAGGGTGGTGTTTCCTGTTGCAACAAAACAGACTTTGTATAATCAACTGATCTCGTGACCACAGTGAGATGTCATTTCTGGTACACCGTGCAGGTGGAACGCTCCATGCTGCCCTTTGGACCAAAAAGGGTCACCTCACATGATTAGGGAGGTACCGCCTCGGTAATGGCCGCTAATGTGTCCGACAATTTAACCAGAGTTGTTGGTGTGTCATCATCACAAATACCGAAAGGTCACTCACTTGTCATCCAGTCCCAATTTCAGTCACAAGCTATTCAAATGAACCATGACAGATGCATTGCCACCATGTCACTGTTTATTGCAGTCTTATTTCTGATTAATATATGGTGGAATCATAACTATGGAGTGTGCCCAAAAAAGTGCAACTTTCAGAAAACAAATAAATAAAACTTTTTTTTTTCTTCAATGAAATTATATATTACATTAAAGCCTGACTATTTCTCGATCCACTCCTTTTTACCCCATTCCATTTGGGTCCCTAGATCCGGAAATACAATCAATTAAGTGAAGGGTGTACATTTTGACTTGGGCCTCTCTCACCTGTGATGTCATCAACTTCAATGCCTGTTCAATGCTTAACCCAGGTTAAGCATGTCCAGGTGAAAGTGGCCCAAGTAAAATTGACACCATTTTCACTTAATTGATTGTATTTCTGGATCTAGGGACCCAAATGGAATGGGGTGAAAGGAGTGGATTGAGAAATAGTCAGGTTTTGATGTAATATATAATTTCATTGAAGAAAAAAATTAAACATTTTTAATTATTTGTTTTCTGAATGTTGCACCTGTTTGGGCACATTCTGTGTGTTACTAATAATCATGAAAATTGTTGCTATAAAAACTTGCAGTAACCTCACTTCTTTGTTACTTTTGTGTTTTTGTGTGTTATGCTCGTTTCTGCTTAGCTGTATTTAGTAATTGTTTATGACAAAAGATTGCATGCATCATGCTGAATGTTATTGTTTATTAAGCATTTACTCTCCAATGAAAACACACCTTTTTGGCCATAAAGTCCTGAATTGCAATAAGCCATTTACGAGTGACCATACCCTTTGGGATTTAAATTTGAAAAAACGTCTGCTACACTGACTTGCTCGGAATGCTTGGCACATTTTAAGTGTGAATTCTACAGACCAAAGGCAATGTTGCTAATCACATGATTCGGGGCAAGCTCTTGCATAGTTACGTAAGAGACGCTCAGCACCAATACATCGTTCACAATGGGTGAGAATGGCACAAAGACACCAGACCATGCTGGGGCTGGGGGTTGCTAGCATAAAGGCTTGCCTCGTATCACGTGATATAGTAACATATCTTTGGTCGGGAGAATGCAAAGTTAACACGTGCAAAGCATTGGATTAAGTCAGCGTTCCAGATTTTATTCAAATTTAACTCGCAAATGGCTTATTGTCAAGGTGTTCGTTATTACTCAAAGTTAGCTGCTTGATTTTGGCCAGTTCCCCTTGCCCATCGGCAAATGATAATTTCCTGTCCTCAGTACCAATTGCTCGTGATTATCTTGATCAGCACGGCAGGATTTCCTTTATTCCACACCCCTCCCCCCTTCCACAGGATCATGGAGTGAATGGAGTGCATGGAGCGTCTGCTCGGCCAAGTGTAACGGAGGCATCCAGACACGGTCAAGACACTGCCTAGGGGGCAGCGTCTGCATGGGCACGCCCGAAGAGTCAAGAGAGTGCAACAAACAACTCTGCAGAGGTGCGTAAGCCTTCACAGACAAAGTTTTTTTTGTAAGGTCACTTGAACATGATCATGACCACCATGTTGAAGTCAAGGTGGATCATAAGTCCATCACAAGTCAATCACAAGTTTCCAGTCCTAGGTCAAAAGCTATTGAAATGAACTGTGAAAAAGTTCATGGCCAAGTTCATGATCATGAGCAAAATGTTGATGTCACACTACACTAGTCACACTGTGCTAGTCACACTGTTGTAGTCACACTACTTCTGTCTTTTATTAGTCAACCACAAGTCCATCACTAGTCAATCACAAGTCCATCGCAAGTCTATCACTAGTCAATCACAAGTCCATCGCAAGTCCATCACTAGTCAATCACAAGTCCATCACTGGTCAATCGCAAGGCCTCACCCCTCAAGGCCTCACTATTTAAGAATCAGTTGAACTTAACAAAAAGATGGTTTGACCTTCTGGTTTGAAAGCAGAGGGTCCTTACAATCATCCGTGAATGTCGCATTGCAAGTAAAGTATCAATGAAATCTAAACTGATAAATGACCGTTTAGCCTCCTACCAAAATTCTCCCCTCGAGCATAAATTTTCCTTCTTGCCCCCTTCCCCTCCCCCTGACAGAGACTCGCAAGACCACCCGCTGGACCCCCTGGATGATCCAGAATGCCACCCAGGACAGCTTCCTCCTCAAGCGCTACCGGTTCCTGTGCAAGGCGCCGGTGATCGACCGGTCCCTGCTGCGCATCGGCCGCATGAAGGTGGAGTACCAGCTCTGTCCGTACCTCAGCAAGACTTGCTGGCCGACCGGAGGTGAGGAGTCGGAAGTGGAACAGCTGAACAGACTGATAGGTATTCATGGACGGGGACGCACACCAGCTGGGCACCCTGTGTCTTTACACATTCTCTGCATTTCTTGTGCGAAATTTTGTTTTGCATTGAGCACGAACTGAAAACAAAAATGTTTGCCAATTGCATATATTACCAAAAGTATGATGCCAAGCCTGTATTTTTTACTTTGCAAACCAAAATGTGCTATTTTTTTTTCAAATCTGCTTGGCTGAAATTTGATTGCAAATATAAAGATTTTTTTTGTCTAGAAGTATGAAAGTTGCAAACTGCCAATATGATTTATTCTTTTTAAAGACAATTTTTTATTGATTGTTTTGGCCATTGCTCTTCCTGCTTTCATTTTTTTTGTATCCATCTGTGTCCAAAAAAAAAATGAAATGATTTAAAAAAAAAAAAATCCCAGCTGGCACCCTGCATGAATCATAAATATGTATGAGGTCATGTGACTTATTAGCTGCAATAGTGGGGATACCGAAAATGAATTTCAGATGTGCGATCAATCACTGGGGTGGAAAAGTCATTTATTTTTTTAATTCTCAAAAACATGATGTTTCCTGATTGAAGTTGTAGTTGGGAAAAATTCAGATTCAAATTTTGGGACGAAATATCATTCTCATTCTCATGGGTAGAAAAGTACATGAAAGCGTTATTGCCTCTATATAAAAGTAAGCCCCATCTGAGGAGTCTTATAATGTATTCCTTCTCACACTGTTAATAGTCACATGTCGTCATCAGCAATATTGTAAAGATTTTGTTGTTTTTTGCTTAAAAAGCTGTGTTTTTGGTTTAAACACAAAGGGTCTGAGCCATATTGCATGCGATGCTTGTAAAAATGCCAACGTAATGCTACTGTCAACCACTATTTTCCAAACGAGTCTAAATTGGGCAGAATTGCTTGCCGAGATTCAACTCATTCCAACTCGTTGTCGTTGCGTTTTTCCTCTCGCTGTCAAAACTACTTTGGATCTGGCGGGCTTCACAGAAAGGTGTGGGCCATTCCCAAAAGTCACTTCGTAGAAACTAACAGCTATATTTTGCTCCAATTGCTCGAGATTAACAAATTTGTTTTACAGTCTTTTCTCGAAATTGTTAACGACATTTACGCGAAATCGTCCAGATCGATCCCTAAAACAAAGTCTTTAAACGCCCTTCAACAGTGATCAACGTCAATTGCCATTGACAGAAACATTATGCCATTCTATTTGTATGCCTTATTTTGTTTTCTTTCTTGAGCGAAAAGACTGGGTGGTGTCGGCCGCAGAATGAAAACACATGCGCAGCGAATGGAGTCTTATTAGGTTTTTGTGTCTGGGGCCTAGAAATGCTTTCCAGATGGTGGGATATTTCAGGCAATTGGCAAGAGCACCCTTCCTGATTTGATGAAGCGGCTTTCTGTGCTAGCGCAAATGTGCGCTGTCCGTACATGACGTGTCAGGTTCCATATATCAGGGCACCGCTATGCAGTCTGGTTTCATTTTCACCGTGACGATTGATGGATTGGGTTTTTTGGGGGTCAGTCACCCCGTGAATTGAGGTGCCTCTCCCGACCCACTTCGAGACGGGTTACGTACGTAGAATGGGCTATGCAGGGACTAGTGAGGGCGCTGTTCGTTGTGATAATAACCAGAGTTACATGGAGGTTAGAGCAATGGACTGTTTCTGCTTGTCAATCAAAGAATGCGCATTGACCAGTGAAATCACTGCTTTTGATCAGGTGACGTTGAGCGTGGTCAAACTTCAAAAGATGGGCGGGGCCTATGACAAAATCTGTAATGGTCTATTGAATGCACATGCAAGCCAAAATCATTTGTTTTAAGTCCAGCTTCCAACACTTGTAACAACGAATGTTTGCAACCAGTGTGTGACCAAAATGTGTTGATATCTAACCAAATACCACATTGTGTGCCATATGATAATCTTTGCTCCAGAAAAATGCATGTGCACAATGGAAGAATAGTCCTGACGTGCCTTTGTGTACATCTTGCCAACAAAAAGTTTCCAGCGTTTGTCTTGCTTCAGACTCTGCACATTTCAGCTCAAATAACAAAGTTCAAACACAGCAATCATCTCTGCCCTCACAGGTACCCATTAACTCACTGGTGGGAATAAACCAATTCACGATAAAGTGTCTTGCCCGAGGACACACCCACCGCAATCCCCAAAGGCTGGACTCGAACCCACACTCTGTAGAGTTACCCACAAGAATTTTGGGTTCAACGCTCGTGACCAACAAGGCTGCATCAGGCACCCTATCAAGCAGGAGTCATTAAATTTCCACCTGAGATAACCCAATCTTTCCGCAAATTTGCTGTCCTTCCATGGGTTGTTATCAGACGCTAACATAACGGCCATTTCGCGTTAGGCGTGCGTGTTTCGCATTATGTTACGGCTCCGTTGGGACAGGCGAGGCCGGCCCAGTGACCTCATGTTGTGCCCACACGCCATGAAAGAGTTGCATGATGTGTATATCAGGTGCTGACAGAAATGTTTATGGGAGCGTACGGGAAAATGTCTTGGTTGACTTACAAACTATGTCATCATGTTGGGGGAGTTTGAAGGCTAAGACGGAGCAATTCCTGTGGTATGGACGGAGGAGTGGTATTTTGACCTCTGGAAGGGACATATTGCCTGGCGCTCACGCGAAGATTAAAACATTCAGATCAAAAAAAAGTTGTGCATACTTTGCTCCATAGTTCGCGAACCAGTACGAGCTAGCTCGTGGTGTGTCCCGTCTACTGGGCTCTCAAAAGTGGTCAAGAGCACCCTCTTGTTAATACACGGAGCCAATGAGCTGATCTTAAACAATCCAGTCTTTTCAAATGTAGGGAGAATTCAATGTCCAACCTTATACTTAACATTTGTTTTAATTTGTTACAGAAACCACAAGGGGCATCCAAGCAAAGCTAGTCCCAAAATTCTCAACAATCCTATTGTGTTGTTTTTTTCTTTCTTTCTTTCTTTTTTCTTTTTGTTATTTTGGGTCTTTATTGAAGGAGAGGTTGACAAACTTTTTGTCAACCTTGCGGCTAAATATACATACATATTTCATCATGAAAACAACTGTAATGTCAAGTTGGGGAGGCAGATAACTGGACTTTACTGCGAGAACGCCAGCTGATTCCAATGTTGTGGCAGTCATTGACACTCAAGCATTACCCAGGAGGGCTGTTCTTGATTGCCTAAAACTGAAGCTGTTGAGGGGGGATATCCTGCCAATGGGCAGTACAATTTCCCAGGCAGAATGTAGTCTGGTAGCTCCCTCATCCCCCTTCCCTACCCCCCCCCCTATTCTCTCCCCCTCCCCCTTCTCCAAGTTCAAATACAAAGTCACGTCCTGTCAATGTTTATCTTTGTCAGAGGTAGTATGTACTATATCCTGATGGATGACCTTAAAACCAGGTGGTGGGGTCACCGTTATAGGCCGGTAACCTGAGTTTGTTTGGGAGGGGGGGGGGGGGCGTACGCCCCTCACGATTCTCTCCCAAACCCTCCCCCCACATCCCCCACGACCCCACCCCACAACCCACACCCCCATCCCCGCAACCAAACCCCCACACTCCCTCCCCCCTCCCCCCTTGGCTTTGCTGCTGTTCAGCAGGAGTGATAACGATGTAAGTCCTTGAGCACTAATAATGGCGGACACTTGCACTTCATAAATACCCAGTACCCAATAGCATACACCTTTCCTTACGTCAACTTTGCTAATATACCACGAAAGTGCAAACGGTACCAACCAGCCATCAATATGAAACTTCAGAGTTTTGGGGTTTTTTTTCCTGATCTGAGGCCACACATTAAGGGTAATTCTGTAAAGTCACCTTGTAAAGACTACCAGTTTGTACTGTTCTTGAAAAAAAAATTCACAGCACTTTTTCTAAACCTGTAATAAAGGGAAAGTCAACGAAAGGTCAACAAAACTAGTACACTGCCAAAAACCGGTGCAGCTTGAAATGAGTGTAAAGACTTCAATATGTTGGGCTGGCACATGTGCAGACATTCGGTGTCCATTGATGGGCTAAAATTGGGTATAAGGAGAGACCTGATCTCGCCCGATAGACGCCAGCGAGTTGACGGAGTACAAATTGAGGTTTCCTCCTAAAACATCATGTTATGAAGCACCCACTGTCATCAGCTGTTATTCTGAATCAACGTGGTGCTGATTAAAGTCCAAAGAGCAAGCCTTAGGGGTGCAAATGTTCACCCCCCAATGTTGCCAAGTGGTGTCCGAAGTCTGTCTTGCGTGGAGTTGCAGAACAGGATCTTGCAATTTACTATCAGGCGTGTCAGAACGGAAAGTTAGCCTGGGGGCAAACAAGGGGGGGGGGGGGGGTTCAATAAACCTCACAAACAAACAAACACCACCAAACCCAAAAGGTAACATGTAGTACATATGGCACATTAGGCCAAAAAAAAAATATTCGGTCTCTGGTCAGACCAAAGTTCCGGAATTGACGCGGCCACGCGGCTTTTTTTTTTTCTTCAAGCTTGGATTGTACAGACAAGGTGGGGTACTATTTTGCTTTTTTTGGTGTCCTCATGTACATTGGTGTCCTCCATAATTTGCCTTGGTGCTTTCGATTATTTGCCTTGGTGCAATTTCCCATTTCTTGGTGCTCTTTGGTAAAAAAAAAATTAAGGAGGTGCGGAAATAGAGGGCGCTGTTGAAGCTACTGCGGAACATTGTGGAGAAAAAAAAAGATCGACGCGCATGATTAAAATCGACGCGCGCGCTGACCAGAGACCGACTTATTTTTTTTTTTTTGGCCTTACAGGGAGTTTTTTATTTAGAACTCTAAGTTTTTTAAGACAGCATTGAAAATGGGGGGGGGGATTTCTAAGGGGGGGGGAGCTAAAATATCAGCACTAATGCTTTGAATGGCCGTAAAGTTAGCTTGTGTTTATGCTTGCTTGAGAAGTACTGACTGCAAAGTCCAAACACCTTGCAATAAAAGATTGCTTTTTAAGCAGCTTGAGAGGATATTATTTTGATTGAAATGAAAGATGTTTGGAATACTAAATTGGAATTGATTTGAGTTGTTCCTGGTATTCACATGTGATTGCTTTCAAACAAGGAATAGAAATGAAGGAGTAAATGTACCTACTAAAATTTCTGAAGTCATTCTAAAATATGTTGCTTTACTTTTTACCTCAACTTGTGTCAGCTAAAAATTAAATTTCTTCCATTTACTGGAGTGAAATGTCTCTTTGCAGTCTTTGAGAAGACTTATTGCGACTAAAATTGTTGGGGAAAATAAGGTGCCCAGCCTGTAAATTTGCCCAGCAATTACTTGTGCCTTGCAGCTGCAAAAGCTTGATCTTGTTCCTTGTGGTCTTGCCATTTTGGGCGAGAGTATTTTTCATAAAAAAAATAACCCAAATATTTATTATTTTCATTTATTCTGAAGGATCGTTTGGAGGCTGGACGGTATGGTCGCCGTGGTTACCGTGCAGCGTCACCTGCGGTAGCGGCGGGACTCAGCAGCGTCACCGGTCCTGTTTCCCTGGTAACACGCAGTGCACCGGTGAATCCTACCAACATCAGAGCTGCTCGGGCTACACCGAGTGCCCAGGTAAGACTTATGCAACATTGTTTCAGGCGAGTTAGTGCAAAATCGCTGGTCTTGAGATTTCGGCAGATTTGACTACATCTGATTAGTGGAGTGAGGTAGACAAGATCAGCCAATGTGAAAGGACCAGTAAATTTAGGATTGTTATTTTTATTTCACTGGCATGGCTGATATAGATTTCAGTATGTTAGGCACTAAACATTCAGCTGAGCATAACACAATATCAATTTCATGATCGTCGCGAAATAACCCCGTGAGGTTTCCTCAAATGTTTTGATGACACCGTAGCTCTCAAGCCTTGAAGACATCTTTCCCCGAGGAAACCCTCACTAAGCAGTCAGTGGGGAAAAATAACAAGGAGGGATTTAGTCGACAAAATCCCCAGTTGCCACAAAGTCGGCATTTATCTGCACACTGCTTTACATGGACGTTTTTAAGCACCGCCCAATCTTTGGTTGGTGTACATTTCAAACACTGCTTGCGACCAAGTTTGAATGAGCTTCCGTGGTCACCTGACCAGAACCCGCGATCTAATTGGTCAATACACATTAACCTTCCTATGGAAACATGCATTGTCAGCCTGGTTATTACTTGGGTCAATATCGGTGAAGACCCCCATTGGTTTGTACACAGTATGCCAGGAGGTGAGATACAAACATTTTGACCATTGGTGACCGCTTAAATAGAAGAAGAGTTAATAGACTGATAGTTAGCATGGGTCTATTCTCTCTTAAAACCTGTTTGTTGCACAATCGTCAATAAAAGTTCTTTTTGAACTTTTTTTTAAAGATTGCCCTTGACCATCCAGTCAAACTTTTTGCTTTCTGTCCTTTTCAGTGGACGGTGGTTGGAGCTGTTGGAGCGAGTGGTCAGACTGCAGCGAGTCTTGCGGTGAAGGGTTGCATCAACGGACGCGGACCTGTACCAACCCTATCCCCGCCCACGGAGGCAGGGAATGCGAGGGCCCAGAGACAGTCACCGAGATGTGCTCCGTGTCCGAATGCCCGGATTTTGACAGTAAGCTTTTTATTTGGTGTAAACTCTTTTGGAACTCTAGTGTTACTGCCAGGGCTGTGCTGAATATATCAAATATTTGAATATTTGGATCATCAACCAAATATCTGAAGTAGCTTCTTCTTCTTCTCTTTTTCGATTCAAATACTTGACAAAAAACGTGATCAGTTTTATTTAAATTTTAGAAGTTTCATGGTTTTATTCTTTGTAAAATGCCACGCTTTTGTCGAAAGCCACTTTCAACCATGATTTATGATTTATGATTGATTAAAATCGGTCAAATATCGGCCATTCTGCTACCTGTTCTTTCAATTATTTTATAAAGCTCTTTGGCACTTGCAGGCGTTGGTGCATGGTTAACTTGATCACAATTGGTGCCTTTCAAATTTGAATATTGGACTATTCAATTCAGTCCATGTTGGAATAATCAAATACTAAATTAATCGTAAATGCACAGTTCTAGTTGTTTTAGAACGGTTTCTAGATGGTTTAGGCTGGCACATGGTTCACTTGATCACAATTGGTGCATTTCAAAAATTGAATATTTGAATATTCAATGGAATCCATGTTGGAATAATCGAATACTAAATTATTCATAAATGCCTAATGGGGAGGGGCCTAATGGGGCGGTCTATTGTCATGCAAATGGTCAGATGTGACAACTTGGGCTGTATTTTCCCCCTCCAACCACCTATCACCTGGGATGCTAACATTCCCTCAGGTCTGATGTTACTCGCAGGTTCGTCTGGAGAGCAGAGCTCCGTCCCTAGCTCCAGTCGCATGTACCACATGTCGGGTTGGAAGGACTGGAGTCGCTGGACGCAGTGCACCAAGCCCAATCAGCTTCACAGACATCGCAGTCGTCGCTGCTTAGTGGATGAACCCACAGCCGGGCAGTGCATCGGCTGCATCAAGGAGCTTAAGCTGTGCGATTCACCAGAGAAAGGTGAGAACATTATCCACCAATGAGATTATTTTTTGACTCATGAATATTTCTGAGAACTACCAAGACAATTTGTTAAACTGGGTCTGTACTCTACCAAGAAGAAATACTCAACTTAAGCCAAGAAGGATGTTTGTCCACATTTTTTTTTTTTTACAAAGTGGTGTTTTTTTCTCAACTCTCTAGACATTTTGTATTTCGGTAATCACATGACACCTCACAACATGTGTTTTCCTCTAAGTTTGATGAAGTGGTAATTGTATGTGTATATCACAAAATTGATCTCTTCTAGGAAAAAAAATGTTGTTGTGAAGTGAACCAGTGCTGAGAAGTGTTCTCGACAGTATGTACTCTGTCCATCTTTAGGAAAATGCTGTTGTGAATTGGCAGACTAGCTAGAGTACACTGTCCGAAACGTCAAGTAAAGTTTACTGGTTCTTTTTAGAACCACATTTTTTTCCAATTGAAGGGATTAATTCCGTGGTGTACCCAGAAACTTATCACTTCATCATGCCAAGTTTTCAACTACATTCTATATACTCCTAAGTTTATGAGAAACATGTGTTTTTAACCCGTATTTGAAATGCTGTGTTTTCTAGAACCGTTCCCGTACGCCATCCCCGAGGTCCAGCGGTTACAGTCGCAGCCCGAGCTGGCCTGCTCGCAGCAGTCGGCCCAGCCGGGCGCCGGGGTCAGCCCGACGCTCATCCTCATCATTGCTCTGTGCTCGGCGCTGATCGGCGCCGTCTCCTCGGTGGGTGTCTACCGCTCCTGGCTCAAGGGTTGCCAAGCCAAGAAGAGACGCAGCTCCGACAACCGAGACCAGTTCTCCGACCGGTTTTCAGATAATGACGACGACGATTACGACTGCCAGCATCCCAGCGCATTCAGACATTACAAAACTGAGATTCGGAGCAATCCTATCCCGAGCTGAATGCTCGTGTACGGATGAGCCATGCAACTGCTTTTTGTACAGACTCTTCATAGACGCCTTTTTTTAACTTTTTCTTTTTTTACCAATGCTGCGTTTTGTACATATAATGATGCAGTGATACATACGCAGAAAAGTGCACAAGCTTCGCACAATGAGTGGGCAAGATTGCTTCAAAGCTACAGCTTGGCAGATGAGACAAGAACGCTTTGTCTTCACGTTTCTTTTCTTAGTTCTCCTGCACTGATCTTGATGGTAACCAAATATAATATGTCTATTCATTACCCACCAGAAGAAACCAGTGGCGGATCCTTCTGGATCTGCAACTTGAAACCAACTCTAGTTAATATTATGTGAAATAATTTGACATTTCATAAAAATATAAAAAAATTCAACTTTTAAAAAACCTACATATCTTTTTGTTATCCTTGTATATTATCTAAATAAAATCCATAGAAGCAAGATTATAGTCCAGTTGCCAAATTTAGGCCTCGCTAAACCCTTTTCATTTTCAATTCCGGTTTCGCCAACTGTACCTGCAACTTGCCGTTTTAAAATTGGCTAACAAGCACATGCAGGCTTGTACTTAACCAAAACCTAGTAATATTACTTTGGTTACAGTGCCTTAAACGGTTTAACCAACTGGATCAATCAACTTAAGTTTATGTTTTTTGAGTTGCAGATTAAGGTATATTATTTGCAGCTTGGTGTAAGAAACGCAGTATTTGATGTCCATTGTATAAAGACCCCTATATTTATCAAATCGTAATATTTTGACTTATTTTTTGTGTGAACATTACCCACCGGTCATATGATATTGTTAGATTAAATTACCCATGTAACCAAAACAAAAACAATACCTGCTGTGTATATGAAAGTATTCATGTTATCATGTCGTCTTGTAATAATTTATAAGCTGTAAATATTATGCTGTGAATCAGCCCTGTGGATGCACAGTCACAAAATTAGTTTTTTCCTGCACAAAAAAAGAGAGAAAGACAAATCAAATTGATGAGTTCTATTGGTAAATGCCATATGTTTGGTGTTTATTCACAGGATTTTGCAGCAGCTGCACAGCAGTTTAAAATGCACACTTTGTATAACACCCCCAAAAGAAGATCGATGTCTGTTGACAAAAAAACAACATAGGAAAATGAGGGTATCACGGCATAAATTATAATTAAAATATCGAATTCAATAAAATGAAGCTTTGTGGTTGTAAGTATGACTGTTAACGGTGACGTTAAACCAGTGTCAAGGGTTACAAAAAATTGCCAACAAACAGATACAATAACTCAACCTGTGACCAAATAAATTTAAAAGAAAAAGAATACATCAGTATCTTATCGAGTTTCACTCAGTATTTTGGGGAAAATCCAATTCAAAAATTCATCTTTTGGTGCGCATAGAATTTAAAAAAAAAGTTATGCAGAGCTTTGGGCTTTTGTACAAATATATTTTTATGTGTAGAAGATATTTATTCTTTATATTGTATGTGTATAAAAAAAAATAATAATAAATGTGACATTAAAATGCTGTATATATGAAGGTCTTTGTATGTTAGGGTAAGTAACGTATGTCTTTGTACTGCCAAGCGACTTTAAAATGTTGGCAACCAATTTTCGTTTATTCGATATTCAAATATGTGCCGCTGCATACTTTGCTGAATTCAATCGCATATATGCATGCTTTGGTAGTGAACGTATTATTACCGCAAAGTTTTGTACAATGTATTGCGGTGATAGATGATTTTTTTTTTATGAATAGTTGTTTAAAAAGAGAGAAAGAGTTAAGACAAAAGAGAAGAGGAAAATCCAGCGAAACGTGTTAATTCCGTTTCCTCCGAGAAATGTAATGATTCTATAAGTTGTATTCGATTGAACATTGTATTCATATAGCCATTATCATATTAGGTCTGATGAAAGTCTAGTTTTGCCGGTTGGACTGGGTTTCTGTGCTGAATTTCACTGCAAAGTGGGTATTATTATTCGTTGGCCAGATCATGCTTATTTGGAAAAAATCAAGATTTACCAGTTCACGTCTGATGACGTGTATACACGCAAAGGTTTTCGGAACGGATGACGGATAAACACGCAACGAGCGAGGCCAGAAATATCTGTCTGCGACCCGCTCGCAGCGAGCGAGGCCAGAAATATCTGTCTGCGACCCGCTCGCAGCGAGCGAGGCCAGAAATATCTGTCTGCGACCCGCTCGCAGCGAGCGAGGCCAGAAATATCAGGGTGTGCTACACGCAGACGACGGCCTGAACCCGTCTGGCATCGAGGTTCATGAAAGACAATCCCGCGTCTGGGTCCGGTAAATGTCAAAATAATCCCGGCGCGAACTGGTTAAAACATTTTAATACTTCTGAATACTTGTTTTGTTCTTAGAACAACATAAGAATTCTGACAAGACAGCTATTTTGATTTTTGTTAACCTACATTCAACAACTGATAACTAACATTGGTGTTTTAGGAATTACGTAAAGGTAAATTGGGAAAAAAATATATCTGAAATTGACTCCTTATAGTGGACAGGAAATTTTCAACTATTTCAACTGGTACATTGAAATATTGGGTTAAAATTTTCAATGAAATTTGACAAAATTGTTGGAATCATATAACAAACACAGTATGGTTTTGTTTGTTTTTTGATTTGATTTTGGATTTTGAATTGCCTTGTATTTTTTTTTACCCTATAAAGCAATATTTAAAAACCAACAACGATACATGAATTGCTTTATTGATTGGTGCGTTTTTTATGCAATGAAAAATTAGATTAAATCATGTTTTTTGAAATTGTGAGAAAAATAAAAATGTTTCAGGATTTGACAGTAAGAGGTGCTGCTGTAATAAACCCTTTTTAGTGGGGACTTTATGCACTAGTCCTGAATATGTGTAAAGTAATTATTAAAAGTGTTTCAACTTACATTAAAAAAAAAAATCTTTTTATATCAAATTTCTGTTTCCTCTGTTGGTTTTGTTCATCTGTGCAAAATTTATTTTATGCAAATTTTGCTGTTTTCATTGTGCTTGTTGCCCATTCATGGAACATTTACACAAATTGCTGAAAACTGTTACTTGTTTTGTCAATTTATCAATACTAAAAAAAAAAATGAGGTCTGTCACGATAAATTTCTTTCCGTGTGTGTGTGTGGGGGGGGGGGGGTATCAAAACTATTGTTTAAATGGGCAAAAAACTGTTGTCTGTACAGGAAAGGTATCCTCATGTAAACAACACTGACAGACAATTTCGACTTTTTAACCTTTCAAAGCCAAAATAAAAGCCAACTACATTTAAAGGGTTTTGAGGATAAGTTCATGAGTCACACGTCAAGAATGCTGAGGCACATTAGACAACAACACACAAAAGTGACAGATATACGACACTAGAAATGCCCTCAACAAATGGTAAGTTGTTCATTTCCAACTGATGATATACATATAATGGATGTTTATGAGTACAATGGTAAGAATAATTTCATGAGGTGACAAATGGAATGTTCCATTCAACAAGGCGAAGCCGAGTGGAATGGAACATTCCATCTGCCACCAAAATGAAACTATTATATCCATTACATGAATGTGTACCATTGATTATTTGTTTTAAACAACACCTGGATAAATCCTCGTCATCTGATTGGTCAGAGCCACCAATCATGTGACCCTACAATGGAACTTCTATTTACCATGGAATAGAACTTCTACTTTTGCGGTGCGGCAGGGCCGTGAGTTGGGACGAATAATTCAGTGATGTGATCAACGACCTATAGATGACGTGGATTTATTCAGGCATTGTATAACGTAAATTACCATCTCTCCTTGGAATAATAATGAAGAAACAAGAGGTCAAGAAAAATACAAATTCATGAAAAATCTTCCAGCGATAAGGAATATTCAATGAATTGTACACGCCACACATCTAAGATACACCTCAAAATATTCAAATATTTATTCAGTTGTTTACAGCAAACCTTTATACAATTTGATCTTTGTAAGTCCTGCCAATTCGATTTTGGGGTGAGAGGTTATTGTCCACCATTGTTGGAGATGTATTGCTCAAATTGTAAATCTGAATATTTCAAATCTGAATTTGAGTAACATCATTTATTTTTTAACAAAATCAGGAAAGAAAGCGTTTGCCGTCGCAATCTTGAACTGTATTGAATATTTCATTGTATTCCAGTGAATTTTATCTATTTTTATTTATTTTGTAAATGTATTATTTTATAAACAAGGGAACAAAAACTGTTTTCTGTTAAATTACTGAGCAGGATAAAGTTACTTCACACTTCCACTAATAAAATAAACTTTTGGTCCAATAAAAGCCATTTCCCAATGATAAAATTACGATAAAATTTATCTAATGTAATTACAGAATAGGATTTGAGGAAAATATCTGTATCTATATTGAGAGATTGACACTATATATTTACTTTTGTGACAGTTCATTCTGGAAACTTGGCACAAGCATACTGTAAAATTTAAATTAATCAGTAAAATATACTTTTTCTTTACAAAAGATTTACTAACTAATATAAGAAAATTAAACCTGTAAAATAACTAGCTTTGATATTTTTTTTTAAGGAAAAAACACGGGGTAATAAGAAATAATCTTCTTGACAAATCCCGTCAAAGTTTTATGAATTCATAATTGATTCCAAAAGACAAATATGTCCTAATAGTGTTTTTATATTTTCACATTTGACAGATACATTTAGTTGCCCTAAAAAGTCTCATATGAGAAATAAGATTTTTTGAAACACACTGCAGCGATTATTTCTCATTTCGTATTTTATCATGTGTGTATCCCATTCAACAAAATTCCTTTTTAATGAAAGTATAGACTTAAACAAAAATGTTTGACATCTTGTTCTTAAAAATTGTTTCTAATTTTAACCGCAAACCCAAGGCTTCTTCATATCCTTGTCAAACACGCCAAACGAAACAGAACACAAGCAGTAAAACTCACAGCAATTTAACCTTTATCCTAAAGAACCTAAAGAAAATAAGTTTTTACCTGAGTTACATGAACTAAAATAAGAAAACAAGCTAAAGCTTCCCAAGGAGCAAGTCTTTGACACTAATTCTATTTGGAAGTTGTCTCTTTTACTTTGTATGTCCGTGCGTTTTGGATATAACAAACACCTTAAAATAAATATTTAAGGTGAATTGCTTTAATACTGTTAAGCATTAGAAATGTTGGGTGCATTTGAGTAGCTCATCCGGATCGACTCGGATAAAGGCAGACAGGTTAGCCACGACACCCGGGCTAATCTAACGCTCAACTGCGGGCCATCACGATTCTCACGTGATGTCCTGTATCCGTGGCCGTAGCCACTGACAAAACGTCCGTTTTGGATTGGGTCTTAGTTTGAGATTAACTCCTTTTCAGTCAATTGCAAAACTCAAAAAAGTTTGGCTGGAATTATAGCCTGAAAAGTCGCATTGAACTCAATAAATGATTACATTTAGACTTGACATAAAGTTTATTTTTAAGTCCATTTGAGATTTCCGCTGTCCTGCCGCCATATTTGTCCGTTTCTTGGAATGTATGCGTGTGACGTATTTCCACCACTGTCTCTGCTCCACGAGCAGGGTCTGTGGTGGCCAACCCGGGTGATCCCCGAGAATGACGTCAGAGCTAATCAAACGGCACGGGGCTATCCCATGTCGACCCGGGTGAGCTAAACGAACGTACCCATTAAGAATACCCATGAGGCCTCGCATGAAAAAGCTACAAGATAGGGAATGATTTAATGAGTTTCAAAGTTTGAACAAGCATCCTACTCATAATTATAATAGTTTGAGTGTATATCAATCTTTGCACGTCACACAATATTGAAAGGTTTTTGGAAGATCAAATATGTTACAAACTAGTACTTTTTTGGTTCAAAAATAGTTTTTCTTATTACTTTATTAATTTGGTAAGTCCATTAAATAAATAGACCCTTAGTTTGAGTGAGCGAGGGCGCTATATCAATGCTCAATGGGAGACTTCTGAGACATTGGTGGCAGCAAACACACCGGTCCTTTTTCAATTGTTTATGTCATGTTTAAGCCAAAGCGCGCATGCTCAATATGATGCAAACAATGGAAAATGGACCGGTATGTTTGCTGCCACCAATGTCTCAATAGTCTCCCATTGGGGGGATGCAAACGGATGTGAATAAAGAAAAAATTATTCAAAAATTACATGCTTAAAATTGTTGGGTTTATTTGAAGGAAATTCCAAATTTCTTAAAGAAAACACACAAAAAACCAAGATATTTCAACTGTTCCCAGAATAATGACATGATCAGAATGCCCTACATTCACTCAACATATGGCCTATTCACAGCACTTGGTTTCGTCTTTCCGCAGATCAATACAATCCCTCCTTGCGCAGCTGATTGATGAAGAACCTCGCAAGCAACTCTTGAGGGCGGTGTTCCCACTCCTGGTGCTGCTCGGGAGTCATGGTAACCTGGTCGCCTAGCAACCGATCCAGGAGAGTCACGCACACAACGGCTCCTGGAATTAGATGCAGGATTCAGATATTACGTAAGGTGTTAAATGTGGATATGAAGACAAAAACTTGTCTGAAATTTTTGAACACTTGTAATAGTGAAGGTTGTTTAAAGGTTATGTGAAAATAAAGTGGGTTTTTTTGCATTATTAAAAGTAGGTCATTGAAAATAATGTGACAACAAAAATTGATTATTAAGAGGACAGATTGGCCATCCGCTGGCCCTGTATCTGTAAATTTCTAACCCTTTCTGAACTCGTAGTGTCAGGCACACTATTTGGACTTGTACACCGGTTAAAATCAATAACATTTTTTTTTTAACCATTCTCAGTTCAAGTTACATGCTATTCTAATGAAACTTTAACAGAGACATTCCTTTTGTCATTATCTGTCCTCTGTAACTTTTACCGGACTAAAGATTTGACTTACAATCCACTAAATTTTCAATTCTGCCTCATTCTGTATTTTCTCTCACTTCTTGCAGTTCTACAAGCCAGCCAAGTGTGCATTTGAATCAAGCCTACCAGGCCTTGAGCTTCAGCGGTAATTGGAGTAGCCCGCTTTTGTCACGCTTGCAGGAAAATTACAGTACAAATTGGATGTGAAGTACGTAAAGGCAGGTTCATACTTGTCTGAAAATTGTCAGAGTTGAAATGTGTTCACCTTTTGCAATTTGCAGCGCAAAACTCGCCCTGATGTGACAAATTCGCGCTCGTGTTTGCTTTCGTGCCGAGTATGAACTGGTGTAGTGTGAATTTAGGTTTTATGAAATACGGACTCATTGGTGGTATTGCGCATGCTCATGCATAAATAATTAGGAGAGGGACCAGTCACGTGAGAGAGTTTAACCAATAAAAGGGAAAAAGAGTCCGATTTTCATACGAGTCCGATTTTCATATGACACCGGCCTTAAAGACCGTTTACAGCTTACTGCTGAATTCAAATAGGTAGGTTACACTCTCTTTATCAGTAGCCACCAGGCCAGTCAAATTGTTGTTGTTTTTTTACCAGCATAGCAGTGTAGTATGCTGCTAGTGCTAATGAGGCCTGCATGCAATGACTCCAATATCTGTCGGACAAGTGCTGTGCGAGACTCTATCAAACTTTTTTCCCCACCTTTGATTTTAGCTGCACCACACATTGCAGCCAGGCACGTTCCTTCCATCTCAATGTTACGTACTCCGGCCTCGTACGCAGCCTGGAGGTACGCTATCTTGTCCTCTAGCGTGTGCTCGCAGATCGCGCCGTCAATCCTCGCTTGGCCTGAATCAAGATGACAAAATTCGTTATGTGCTGAAGGATTCCGTGCTCAAGCACCCAAACAACGGTTTACAAGGAGTAAGTTGGGATAGACCATCGGGAGAGACTCTTGGTCGCATTGCCAATGGTGCCTGAAGATCTGCAGTGACACTACAGAATTGTGCACCTTCAGAATATAATTACTCATGCGTACTTCTTGCCACTAACCTGTGTGAACACAATGTGTGCTCCCGCCACCCCCCCCCCCAACTTTCCCTGCCCCGACTGGCACTCTTGTGTGTGGCAATGAAGTACCATCTACTGGTTACGTATGAGGTCCATATTTGACAACCAAAATCAGAGTAACTGAGTTGGAACCACATGTTCAGTTGTATTTTACTGTTATGTCTGAGGACAGGGCATTGTCTTTACATCTGTTCCTATACTGTAACACTCTCCCATAAACTAAGCACGCACACTTACATCCGAGGACTGTTTTCAACAAAGATGAACTGTCTTTGTGTTGCTGTCACGCAAACAGTTTGACCGGGAAAAAGGAGGTCCATTGAGTGGTTGATATAATAAGGATGCCACAAAATAATAACAGCAAAAGATGCCATACCTTCGTAAAAATCAGAGGTGCTCATGGTGTTCCCTGTGGTGACATCGTAGTCAGCGTTGGAATCGTGTGCAGCAAGGAGTTCAGTAGCTACCTCCTTGCTTAACTGTGTCGGACGACTGACGATCTTACCTAAAATAGGCTAGGAAAAAAAGAACATCACAGATTAACTTTAACCAATGTTTTTTTGAGGAAAAGATGGTGGTGTACTCATTGCATGCCTTTATTGCGATGTCACATAAAAAAAATTAAAAAATAGGTTTCGTTTTTTTGGGGGGGCCATGGCCCCCTTTGCCCCCCCCCCCCCCCCCCCCCCCCCCCCCCCCCCCCCCCCGGATCTGCCCTTGAGTTTGGGGAGGTAAAAGGGCTAATTGGTAAAAGGTCTCGAATGAAAATAGTTTAACAAACTTTTGCTCTTTACCGATGTACTTTTATAAGCAGTGTATACTCAGTGCTTTTCCAAAGCTTGCACACACAAAATTGGCAAGTTTTATACTCAGGTGGGAAAAAATGGGAATCGAACCCCGACCTGCTACTTATTATAGCAATTTACAGCATCATTCAAAAGCATCCAAAATTGTGACTTACCACTTTATAGGCTGGTTCAAACATCTCGTTGACTGCTGTATCCGTGACGACCACTGTGCCCGGTTTCAGGCCCAGTCCACCACACGTACCCATCCTGATGAAGACGACATCCTTGCAGCCGGCGTAGTGAACCAACTTGATCAGCTCATGAAGGAGAATGGATATGGATGGCATACCCATGCCATGCTGTCGGGGGAACCAAACAATTAAGAAGAATTCACAAATACTTAACACAGTTTACCCATTCCTATTGGTCGAGAGCCCATGCACGTGGCCGGTCTTAAATGGGTGATAAAGACATGGCTGGCTGGTCTTAAACACTTTTCCAGTGTCACATGAAATCCGGTGCCTTTGAACGTTTCACTGGTTGAACGTTCACATTCCTCACGCAGGCATGCGCAATACTACCAGTGAATCAGTATTTAATAGTCACAATGAACCAAACACTCCTAGCTATTTCGTGTATTAAGTTCAAATCTTTGGAATAATTTGTTCTGACTGACTCTAAAACACCAGTCTGAAACAGTTGCAAATTTACTTACACTGACTGAGAGAACACAGCCGACTTTGTACATACAATAGCGATCGGTTGAGCATAGGTCAGTCAGGACGGTGCCATTTTGGGTGCCGAAGCCCAGGCGCTCAGAGATGAACTCTGCAAACCGCTTCATGCGTGTCGTGCTCCCGCCCATGCAGACAAACTAGATTATCACAAAGACCACAGAGCACATACAATTTAGGTAACCAATATTTTAGAAATATTTTAGAAATATGTTAGAAAGCTGCAAAGGAGGAAGAGCCAGGTAAGTTGGAGGAATAAGTTCCATACAGAATTTTATTTCAGAAATCAAACCCTTGTTTTTCAATAAGAGACTTTTTTGCCTTTGTATAAGCCTGATGAAAATTTCAAAACCAATCATTTGATATCGGAATTTGTTATTGAATACCTTGACATCCCCAAAGCGTGCCGGGAGCTGGTCCTTGTCGGTTGCTAGTCCGATGTGAAACAAAACGTCCACGTCTTGTTTCTCCAGATATGGGTTAGGAGGCCGCACAGAACTGCCGTTATCCAGTCTGACAGAAAGCAAAAAAAACATATTAATTTCTTGAAAAGTATAATTAAAAAATTTGTAATATTGCAATGAAGCAAAGCTGATGAGAAGAATAAACCATAAAAATACCGACAACATCAGAAGGGTTATTTAGTACCAAACAATATCACTACACACGCTTGGTTTAATAACCTAACTCTGTGAGCAAATTCTTAGCTGCAATCTCCAATCTCCATATAAGGAGATTTGTACTACTTCTCGAGAGAGGCACATACCATAACAAAGCTAGAGGGGTGTTGCCAAAAACATGAAGTAAAACAGTTAACCAAAATCGGTGGAAATTTATAATTTTTGTCTTGTTTTGACTTTTTGACCCAAAGGTATTTATGAATGGGAATAAATACGTGCTTGGCCAGTATTAAACAAGTGCGTTTAAAACCAGCTTGGGGCCTGGTCGCCGATAATTGCCCGAGCTGAAATCGGTGTCCAGGCCCCAAACCGGTTTTAAACGTACTTGTTAAAAACTGGCCAAGCACATACTTATTCCCTTGAAATAGACTATGGCAAAGGCATTGCTTTGTCATTGTGCATCCATTGTGAATATGTGCCTACTTGTGATTTCACTGATGATGCATTTTACTACAACTCTGACAGTGTCTCAGCTATGCACAAACACACTGTAACCATACCTTGCTTTCTTCTCCGTAGTTCCGTCCATCTCTCTGTGCTTTTGAATGACACCTTTAAAAAAAAAAATGATAATAATATTAAACATTATACAGCAAGTTCATATCAAGGCCAACATTATAATAAAAAAATAGTACTTAATACAATCCACATTTAGGCACAACTACCAGCACTTTTTATAAATTATGTGTTGAATATACAGCAGTATTTGAAACCACATTAGCCATTTTTTCTCACTTTGATACAGTTGCCTGATTAGTAAACATTATGGTGCCTGCTTAGCCCACTTTTTGCTGTGCTTGCAAAACAGCCCCAGGTTCCCAAAACACAGCTAGATAGGCCCCCTTCCTATGACCTCCAAATTGTATGCTGAACTTTGAACGGTGTGATCACAGTAGTTAGTTACTGCAGCATTTCAAGGTTTTTAGCCATCGGGCTGCCATATGTTCAATACTTTTATGCATTCTGGCAAATATTGGCGAGGTCAGCCAAGCCTGGGCGTTATATGGTCTGCCAAAAAAGTTAGTTGTATAACAGGGGCGGATCTGCGTTGGCTCAATGAGGGGGGGGGGGGGGGCTGGCTGTGAATCTAATTGAAAGGCACTCACTTGTGCCAAAGGCATGTCCTTGCTAGGGTCTGGGGAGAGGGGGGGGGGGCATGCTCAACCTGGAAATTCAACCTGGAGCATTCTAGGGCATATTTTAGAGAATTCAAATGTATCGATTACGAGTGCATAATTTTGAACTCACTGAAACCGGTCATATCCATGGTCTGGTAACTTTCCTTTTGTTGGAGGGGGTGCTAGGGGGTGTTTCTCTTCAATTTTTTTCTTTGCGGCCCAAGCCAAGCCACCCCCAACAATCCGCCACTTATTAGAAAGTGACCTTATTCACAACAGCCAACATATGGGGTAGTGCTGTTGTCCTGCAAGGACCTGTAGGCATGATCCTTTTATGCATTAGCTGTCAGGGTTGCTGAATTGAAAAACTTATAATGCCCTTTATTCTCTCAGATAGCTGCCAATGCCATGCAATAGGTTGGCCAGTTCAGGGACAACTAGCGAGGCATTCTTATGTGTAGACCAGAGAGCTCGCACTGGGCTGACTGGAAAAATAAAGAATGCTCCCAACACTTAAAAATTTGGTTCTTGGTTCTTGGTTGGTTCTTCTCCTAAATACTCCACGTGGGAGTTTATACAGGAGGCCAAAAACACCGGGGCAAACCCCTTCTCTTAGCGATAAGTGTTTACTGGGTTCTTTTACGTGCATTTGTGCAACACACAGGACCTACGGCTTAACGTCCCATCCGAAGGACGAAGCAATAATGGTTAAGTGCCTTGCTTAAGAGCACAAGTGTCCGCGCCTGGGCTTGAACCCACGCCACTGTTGCCTCTGAAACACCAGAACATGAGTCCGGTGCTCTTAACCGCTAGGCCATGACACTCCATGGCATGGCATTTGCAATGCCATGTAGTGGAAACCATTCACAAAATGCTGAAAATGAATAGTACAAAACTTTAAACAAGACAGCAGTTTAAATGTTTCCCGATTATTTTTTTTATGGTAGTATTAATTTGGCTTTGCATGTTTGCATTTATCAGCGCAAAGGCGTCCAGTGTTAAGGAGCACAATGGTGTATGTATTTGAAATGGCGGTATGATTGATGATCAAATCAACTCACCGTAACGCAAGTATAATGCAACCTACTTTCGATAGATTTCTGAATTGGCGTTGGGTTTGTACCATATAAGTTATGTATAAGTGCTGTTTGAGAGCCTTTGAGCTTCTGAACTGCCGGTTGAACCCTGCAGTATTAAATCTCAGAGGTTGTGGGATGTCTGTTCTTCAGTAATGAATAAACCTGAGGTTGTCGGTTCGAGTGCCACCAAATTAGCAATCAAGCTTGCATGTGATTGTTTTCTCACAAGTCCTCCAACAGTGAATCTAAAGAACACCCCCCCCCCCCCCCTAAAAAATGAAAAACATGTACAATGATGCTTACCATGAGAAAATATACTAGGCCTGCAACTAGTCCGAGTAACTTGGACCCAACTTATCGCCTTTTTTAACATTGGGACATGGTCTGGCGACTATTGCCGGATGTTAAAAAAGACGATAAGTTGGGTCCAAGTTACTCTAAATAGCCTACAACTTACAAACTTATGACCGTGTACAAACAACACTACCATGACTACATAACATTACACTGGATCTCCACACAATTCAACATTAAATTTACGAAAAAGGATCGAACGCTAAAACTAATATTACTGGATCCGTTTTCCCTAGCTTGTACATGCACTATATTATATTCAACATTAACAAATAACATACGTACTACGTAGTAATTATCAGGTACCAAAGTCCAAACCAAACGGTCAAGTACAAGCTTACAATTACAATCGTCAACTGCTGATCTTCTTCGTGCTAGTGGGTGCTACCGCTAGTAACTAATCGCATCAATGTAGACGAAATGTTCCTGCCTGATCACACCATACATCCGCGTCGATTTCTCAGTAATGTTTGCACTTTAGGGGAATTCTACGATACTGCAAATCGAAACAACCCTACTCCCTAGCGTTGTTTTGTGTGTATCGATTGTACACGGCCGGCGTACTACGTGGACGCCGTGTGTGGGAATGTTGACAATCCTTTGATCAAACAACAGCCAATCAAATTGCAGGATCGATGACACACCTACCCATGTCCCTTGCGCTGAGACTTGATTCCAGTCCATTGATCTCATGTTATGGCTGGAAGTTTTACGGTTGTGACATTTTTGTTTAGTTTCCTTTTTTGTTAACTTTTTCCCTAAATCATTTTAATCTTTTAATATAATACATATTAATGGCAAAAAAAATTAATGTATTCTAGCCCATGTCAGTCGTCACAACAGCCGGTATGGGCTTGTAGATGGTAGAACTTTACAAGAAATGACAACTCAATCGTTACAGCGCCCTCTCTCATCATTTTTGGAACGGAGTCAATTATGACAATTAATTAGGAAAGAAAAGAATCTATAAATATTGTTTCACGATGATTTGTGTGATGGTTAACAGATTTTGATCCCTCGACCGTCGTTTAAAAAAAAAAAAAAAAGCAAACGACCCTGATGGGACTCGAACCCACAATCTTCAGCTCCGGAGGCTGACGCCTTATCCATTAGGCCACAGGGTCAAACCCCATGCTCAAGGGTATTAAATTTTATTTAAACATGTTATAGGAAAAATGAATGATTTTTTCATTGAAATAGACTATTAGTCAATTCTGTTTTCAACTTCTGTCCAAAGCATCGAAGAATTTTGCTCAAATCATGTTGGAAGATGAGAAAGAAGCGGTTTCAATGACGGCACATCCCAACCTCGTCCCCAGTGCTTACTTTATTTCCAACCGCGTTTGAGAGAGCAGGTAGTAGTGGGCGCGTACTGCTCGACACCATGGGGACGAGATTGGGCACATCCAGATTTTGAGGCTGACTGGTATCCAGACTGTATTCAACGAGAATACTATTACATTGTTCTGGGTCGCAGTCTAATGAAATATTGCGCGCAGGATAGTTTTCCGGGCATGGCGTCGTCTGCTTCATGATTACACTAGCCTAGTTTCATGTCTTTATAAGGTTTTGATTGAAATATACGACCCATCATGCGATTTCGAGCTAAAGTGGTAGACATTGGCTGTATTGAACAGTTCACAAGTAAGCACCAAATGGCCTAGCCTAGCCTACATCAAAAACTTCGTCTTAAATTAAAAAACGCAGTGGCTATTGTTACGGCAGCCGTAACGCATTTCCCATTTTTTATCGTTACGGTAGACTGCAACTTTTATCAGTGTTTATAAAAACATGAGAAATATAAAATTAGAAGGGAAAAAGTGAATTTGTACGTTATGAAATTCGGACTTTATTGCCCTTTAAAAAAAAATCCTCCAAAGCCTCAGGTTAGAAAAGGAAAAAAATTCGAGTGCAAAACTGAGATACAAACCCGCAACCTCGCGGAGCAAAATTCTACTCTCTATCGACATGATCGACTGAGCTGTCGCACTGCTCGCTAAAACGTGGGGAAACAAATAATTATATACCTGTGTGCGTATCAAAAAAGTATTGTAGAGGGCGCTAAACAACGGCTGCCGTAACGATAGCCACTTCGTTGTTAAAAAAGACACGAATCGAGCCTGGGACTGAGAAACATTTCTAATTTTGTTAGAAAATACTTCGAAAAATGCACTCAACTCTCCTTAGACTTTGTACACAACCAAAGAAGTGGCTTCTGGATAGTGCATTCTTTCCAACTATTGTATTTGTAAACCTAATATTAGTTTATGAATGATCATTTTTTTTTGCCCTGAAATTAAATCTGACCTCCCAAAAGTCACACTCAAAAGTTGTTATTTTCTTTCTCTGGGTAGGATGGCCTACTTCCCTAAAAAAAAAATCTTTCAAACCCATGAATCGCAAGTGAAATTTCATTTCATTGAGAAGTAAGACTTGATGTTTTGGGGAATCAAACCCATGACCTGGAGATCTCCAGACACCAGCAATATCCGCCAGACCACCAAGACGCTTTGATGGCTACTGAAAATTAGAACCTTTACATTACTCCAACTGACATCAAGATCTGACGTCATTCAGAATAACTGCCGGCTCGGTAGCCTCGCGAAATCGGGGACCATGAAAGGGGGCCGTAGCCATTGCCTTTATTAAAAAAAGTTATCGGGCAAATATTCATCAAACTATGGTCAAGTACAAATGAGCCCAGTCGTCTAGTTCAAATATTTGTGAAATGCCTTGCCTCATCTCAAGTTACTGATTGTCCAGGTTTAATCTGTTAACAGGAGTGGTAAGCACAATCGCCAAGATGACTCCACTTTGTGTCTTGAGACTGACCGTCAACCGTATGTACTTCATTCTGAATGACAAAGTGGCCAAGGGAGGCATCTGGTGTGAACTAACTGCTGTAAGTTTTGCAGAACGGATCAACAACACTTCCCGGCCTACGCTGGACCGTAAACTTGCCAGCATAGCCCCAGTCTATGCTTGTGACCAGTCATATCTTTGGAAACCCCTGCTCTAATGCTCCTGACTTTGGAAAATCCCTATTTTGCAAATTTCCGATGTCACAAAGCAGTAAGAGATAGAGTTTCCCAAGCAAGGCCGGTAACTGGACTAAAGACGGTCTGTGCAATGCCCATACACATGTGTGTACAAAAAGTAACTGAAAATTTTCATTTTTTCATTGGGATGATTCAGCCTGATATTCTGCATACAAGTTCACTTACCCAGCCAACATCCCCAAAGTTTCCTGTTTATGAAATTTTCCTCATTATTTTCGGCTGCACAAAACAGCCAATAATGAGCAGCTCTGGGATGAATGAGTAAGAGGCAAATTTCACCAGAAATGAGAGTATCTATCTGCCCCACTAGACATAAAATTGAGCCCTCCGATTGCAACCCCGCTAGATTGACGCCCTTTCTGTATCTTAGAGCAACTTCTTTGATGAGTATCGCATGGAAGGATTGTCGGAGGAAGCCAATGAGATTTATCTGGAGATCACACCAGACGACATCGTCAGAGCAATGAAGACGGCACAGAATGCCAAGTCAATCAAAGTCAAGCTCACCAAGAAATTCAGCCCGTGTCTCACATTTGACATTGAATTGGTAAGTGTACGGACGTCATAGCGTAACACGTAGATTGTGTAATAGCCAAAGTGAAATTTAGTTCATTATTTATTTATTTATTTATTGATGATTGTTGGCCGGGATTGCCCACGAAAGTCTTTCGACTTATTTCCAGTAGGGTCACTTGGTAGAAGATGCGGAAAGAAATTACAGTTTTAGTGGTGGGCGGAAAACCCCAGAATGATATGCTAGGGAAAACCCACGGAATCAGGTAGGGACTGAAAACCCAATCCACATATTGACCCAGACGGGATTCGAACCCGGGTCACAGCGGTAGAAGGCGAGGAAAGTACCACTACGCCAACCTGATCCCTAGTTGAAAGGGGAAGAAGTAAACCTGGGACGTTCTAAGTTTTAGTGCTCCACCAACTTGGCTTCCCAGCACTTTGTTAGTGGTCTCATATGACTGCATTGCTCATTTCATAAAGTTTCTGTCAGATTTTGTCAGTGTGATTTGAATTGATTCATCTGATGGTTTTGTATTGTACAATTTTTTTATAGCAACTCTGACAAGTGTTCAAAACTTATTGCAGGATACTGCCCAATTTTGTGATTACTACTGTTCTACCTGCCCTGGTTTATAAATATGAAACCAACATTAATTCTCATGAAGTTCACATTAATTTCTCACAGCCATCCAGAACAGGTCATAGCCGTAATGTCGTGCATGACGTCCCTGTCAATGTCATCCCCAAGAGTATATGGAATGAGTACAGCGAACCAACTGTTCCTGACTTTGATGTAAGTATTGCTACAAGAAGGTTGCCATGTGAGTGATCAGTTTTTGCAAAACATTAAATACACGTGATAGAATAAATATATATCACCCTATTTTACAGAACACATTCATCAGTTGTTATTGTTTTCGTCTTTGGCAGGTCAGTATTTGTATGCCACCTCTGAAATCCCTTCGGAATGTCGTTGAAAGAATGAAAAATCTTGGAAGCTATTTGGTAAATGTACTTAAATCTTAAATTGTGTCTGGCACCAACATAAATCTCCTTAGTTTATTGATTGATTGATTGATTTATTTCTTATTTTAACTGGGTAGCCCATTCAGTGGAATCCACTGATCTCTAATGGGTCCCAGTACAGAGAAGACAATGTGAAGAAATTACTGTTTTAGAGGTGGGAGGAAAAGCCCAGATGAATGTTCTGAGGGAAAACTCAAGGAATCAGGTAGCAACTGAAAATCCAATCCACATATTGGCTCAGACAGGAATCGAACCCGGGTCACAACGTTGGAAGGCAAGGAAAGTACCGCTACGCCAACCGGACTCCCCAATGTGTTGACCAATAGTTTATATTGGTCAACACATTTTAATTTCACATGTACCTGTAGTGTGATGAATATTTCAATATGCCAATATGCGATGCTTGTTGATGGTTAAATGCTCACATTTACAATTAATTACACTGGCTATATTCCAGTATATTATAACTGTAAATGCAACAGTGCATTTGTTACAGACTTATTTTATGGTCACTAACTGAACTTGCAGAAAGTCATATTTGACTTTCAGCCTTGGTGCAACCACAGAAACAACTGAACTCAATAATCCAATTATTTCACAATATTCTGGTTCTCCAAAAGACTCAGGAATTTTTTTTAGGCATCCTGTATCATTTGCATATAATTTGTATTGCATGAATATGAAGCAAACTTGCATCCACTCAAACGTTGCCCTGACTCCACTACTGTTGAATATTCATCGTGAACAGGAACTTTCAGCCAATCAGAATGGGGAGATGAGATTGAGGGTGGAGACTGAGCAGGTGACTGTTTCCACACACTTCAAGGATTTGGAGATTCCTGAATGGGGTACGTTTCAATATTTGAAGAAGCTTGAAGGAGGATTACCTAGAGAGAAGGATTCGTTAAATTCAAATATTCCGAGATCTTTAGGCCGTTTTAACTTAAAACATCAGATTCATCATTTGGTAATGCAGTGGAATATCGTCCTTGGCTCCCGATTTTTGTGTGCAAAGTGTACCGAACATTGTTGTAAAAAAATGTCAAGAGAAAAGTGACAAGTGGCTATTATTTCCCCAAGGAAAAGAAGAGGAAAGTCACACCCTGCCGTAGGGAGTAAGCTCGAAAACTGTGTAATTACATAATTCAATAGTCGGCACATGTTCAAAGTCGTCTTTCAGTAACTACCAGGGCGTGTAGGTGAAGTTCTTAAGGGCGTTGTTTATTGAAAAGCAAGTACCGGAGCACTGGCAGCTTGAAATCGCTAAAGCGAAAGATCGCTATTACAAACAATTTCTGTGGATCCCGCGATGTTCGTTATAGCGGCGTCCACTGTATAGTATGTAATTTTTTGCTTGATCATCAAACAATCACAGTCTTTTTGTTGGTGCTGAATGTTTTTAATGAAACCTGAAATATACAAATAGTGACTGCATTAAATGTGATATATTAAAGATAGAACCCTCTGAGGATCAACAAGTGAGGCTGGTTTTACTGTATCACAAGTTAAAGCGGTCAATATTTGTGTATAACACCTCGGTGGCCTCACCCATAACTTCTAAACAGTGTTTATTCAAACCAAAAGCCAGTGCAATATTATTATATTCCCCTCGATGGCAGTAAATGAAGGATCCGAGACCCAGACACAAGGCAGGCAACCAGATGAGATGGTTGGGGCCCGAGTGGACATCCGAAGGTTCCTACAGTTCCTGGCTGGACAGCAGCTGAACCCACCAAAGATCATATGCAGTAAGATATGACTTATCAGCAGTTAGGCCAAAAAAAATATATATATTCGGTCTCTGGTCAGACCAAAGTTCCAGAGTTGACGCGGCCACGCGGCTTTTTTTTCTTTTTTTTTTCTTTTTTTTTTTTTCTTCAAGCTTGGATTGTACAGACAAGGTGGGGTACTATGTTGCTTTTTTGGTGTCCTCATGTACATTGGTGTCCTCCATAATTTGCCTTGGTGCTTTCGATCATTTGCCTTGGTGCAATTTCCCATTCCTTGGTGCTCTTTGGTAAAAAGAAATTGAGGAGGTGCGGAAATAGAGGGCGCTGTTGGAGCTACCGCGGAACATTTTGGAAAAAAAAAGATCGACGTGCATGATTAAAATCGATGCGCGCGCTGACCAGAGACCTACTTATTTTTTTTTTTGGCCTTATCACAGAAATGTTGCTAGCATCGTGACGTTGGGCCTGGCTACATGACATATACAGGTTGATGGCTTCTGATGACAAGAGCCCCTTGAACAAAGATACTGACAAAATGGGGAACTGCCAACATAGGGCTGGATAGCTCAGTTGGTAGAGCACCGGAACGGCAATCCGGAGCAACAGGTTCAAGCTCCACTCCAGTCAATTATTTTGTTCAGATATTAGATTGAAATGGAGAGTAAAAGGAAGGAAACTTGTGCATATGGAGGGATTGTTACATTTTATTGGGTTATATATTCAGTGGTGTACATTCAAAGAACCATTAATTTTCAAAGTTACACCTTTCAGATGCTCACAAAATTGAGCTAGTTAATTGTGTTTTAAAACAAAACTAATAGTTTGATGTTGCTGTATATTTAAGTTTGAAGAACTTACTGATAGAATTTACAAAATATGACACTGCCCCCCAGTCTGAGCAAGTCATTGTCTTTCAAGTCACTATTATTTTAATAATACTTAAATGATTAATTTTTGTCCACAGATATTGTTGACAACAGACTGATTCACTTCTTCCTATTACAAGAAGACATCTCCATGCAGTATTCTATGCCCATCGTCCAACAGTGATGCTCTTGAATTTTTTACAGTGTTCACTGAAACCCTGAGGAACCAGTAAGACTGCTTGGTCTCGTTTTTGTCTTTAGCCAACGATTGATGCTTGTGAGGTCAGCTGTAGTTGATGATCACGTTTCTACCTCAGATTTGAAATCTTGACACACTTAGAGGAACTCAAAGCAGAAAACATGTACACTGTAGCAGCTGTATGGTGATCATTCATGGTAGGAAATCCCATGACTGCAGAAATATGCAAGTTCTAATGTGAGAACACATGGTGAATGGAAAAACCAAGTGGTCATGACTGCTGTCACTGTACGACTCTGCGAGCAAGTACGTCCTCAGCGGTGAAAACCAAAATGAGATAGAAGGACACTGGAGTTGTGAGTCTGTGCTCAGGCGCGTTTCTCTGCAAAGATGTTACGGATTGTTGCACACTCATTTGAATGAGTTATGTGTACTGTGTGGCGTATCCATGCACGCATGCGGTTTTTCCATATATTTTTCTCGTGATTGTTACTGAAGTAAGTTTTGACGGAAAACAAAGTCTGTAGAATGAGGTTTTGTGCCAGTGAACTGAACATTGCCGGCATGCACTTTTGAAGGTCAGGAGAAAGTGGTGAGAAATATTCAGCTTTTGCTGGGATGTGCTGATCGTTTGAGCAGTGAATAATTGAATTGATGAAAAAAAAAAGAAAACATGAACTTGTTGTTTTATGTGTCATGAACTGATACTGTGTAAAACCGATGTTGAGAAATTTAACATGCAAGTGAATTGGCTTAACATCAATACCTCAATGAAAAAAATGACATTCGTCAGTAAGGTGGCCCTGCAAATACGACAATTTGGACGCCATAAGTATCGAATATAGGTTGACAAATTAAAAGGACCGAAATTTCAAAACGGAGTTAAGCGTCCCAAGTCAATGAATGCAATCATGGATGTAGCCGAGTCCATTAAGGGTCCATCTCAAGTCCAGTCACAAGGAAATCACAAGTCCAGTCACAAGTAACAGTGGATGAACAAGAACAAAGGAATGCCTTTGTCAAAACTCAATGGAATAGCTTGTAAGTTGAATTGGGACTGGATGACTTGTGATGGACTTGCAGGGACTTATCTCGACTGATGAACTCAACTACATCACTGATTGCCATAATTTTCACTTGGAAATGGACTTTCCATGGGGAGAGATGGCTATTCACTGCCCCCCCCCCCTTTCACACACACAGTTTACCACATGCGAAATATTCAGACTAGAATGGCACCTGATTTTGAAGCCTCAATTTGTTCCTTTTGATTTAATTTATTTAAATGTAGTGTGAATAGGTTACACAGTTACTAAGGTGAAATGCATGTTAATGATTTTTTTTTTTGCCAAACAAATCTCCCTATCTTTCGTAATTAAGACTCAAAAACGATAATGATGTTAATCTTTGACATTCAATCAATATGAGTCATTGCGCTGTCACGTAAAAAAAAGTAGTCTTATGAAGACTTCATGTGAGCAATGTTCAGAGTAGAACAACATTTTCTGTAAAAGGAGAGGACACCCAAAAGGCTCCTCAACTTATTGCATTTACATGTAGTTCGCATTGTTTGGTCAATTTTTGAGGATATTATCCCAACCAAATTTTAGTTTAATAATCACCCGAACTTCCAAATAATCCACATTCCAGTTTTCAATTTTGATTGTCCTTTTTTCAGGAGAACTTTTTAAGAGTTGCCAATATTTCTTTTGGTTCATATAATTCCTATAATTTCCACCAGCTGTTTGCTGTTTTTTGTCCGTTGTGTTAGATATACAAAATTTGGATTGAAAAACAATTTTTTTGTGCAAGTTGGGACTGTTTTCCCAGAGAGAAAATTGCATCGTTTTGTGAGGGGGAGGAGGTTATTCCGTTGATCTGATCATTCTCTTTGACACATGGATGTATGACATTTCGAGTGATGCCTTCTGTGAAAGGTTTACCGAAGGCGACGTTCATCATCACCCACCTGTTGTTCAGCCCAGACCGGGGGCTGCGCGCCTTGCCATCCCCACATGGGATTCGGTGAGTGACCGCTGTGCCGCGTGGCACTGCCGACTCGGTGGCGCGCGAGTGCCGAATTGAAACGTCTCTCAAATATCAAGAGTTAATATACTTGTACATGTATAAAGATGCATGTATTGTCATCACTTTTGTTTTTAAATCCTTGAATTAGGTAATGCTTCATCATGTGTTAGTTTCGAGTTTCACTTTAAAAACGAAATTGCTTTTATATCACAAAAAGTAATATTTACTTTTTCCGAAATAAATGTTATTCAATTCTGAATGAGACGATGAAAAAATATTCGCCCACGTTTAATTATAGAATGATGAATTTCTCCATTCGAAATTATTTGCGGCCCGACCATAATTCAGGCGGATTTTTTTTGTGCATTAGAGGCGGAAAAGCAACGCCCCCACCAAAAAAAGGGTCTTTCCAGAGAGTTGTAGGCCCTCGTAGAGTAGAGAAGCAGGTTTTTCTTTCCCCGGTAAAATAAAACACCATAATTGAACTTTTGTTAGTAGAAGAACAATCAAATTTGTGAAAGAGCATGTTTTACAGGCGAAGGGAGAATCCCCACCGCTGTCTCACAATTGTTTTATTAAGCGTGTTAAGTTCACCTGGAATGAACAAGGAGCAAATAATTAGCGGTGGATTAAGCGAGTGGGATGGGTTTCCCAACCTTTTTGTTAATGATAATTTCATCAGTTTTAGCCTTCACGATCAAACCCTTAGAATTTCAAAGCGATCTCAACTTATATTTTCATTGTTTTATGCCAAATTTTCTCATGAATTTTGTTTCATTTTTCTGTTGAAAGTCGTCCTGGTGCGGTTTGATATTGTCGCAGTTTTTTAATTAAATTAAATGTCTGTCAAGGTTTTTCATTTCTAGCTTGCGCTTGTGTTGGAGAAGGTCAAAACTCAAATATTAAAATGCTCATCCTTGAGTGGAAAAAGTCATGTTTTAAGACTGAAAATTGGCTGATTGATTGTTAACAAAGGTGACCGTTTCCGAACTTGCAATTAAAGTGATGTAAGATTGAAGTTTTCGATATATTCAAGACGTCAAAAAATCTCAAATATCCATTGAAAGCCTGCAAGATCGGTCCTAATGTAAGGAATTTCATGATTTTACCCTGAGGAATATTGTAGGAATTGTCATTGTTTTACGTTTGATAAAAAAATATGGTAAGTACAAGTTGCGCACCTCTTAAAATATTCAACAGACAGTCACCAAGATTTTATAGGGGAAAAAAATCGCCAATTCTACCCAATAATCTCTTTTATTCTTCAGGAGACGCTAGCAAAAAAAACTTCCAATTATAATTCGATAAAAGCAATTTCCTTTTCTCCTATTCATATACTGTTTTCACTTGTTTTTTAAATTTGATGTAAGTCTCCCGTGTTACACACGACAGCGCATTGTCCTGCTGGGCAATCGCACCCTTTATTTTTCGCTCTTTCCGAGGCTGCAACCCACTCAAGTACGGGCTCAAAAATATCAAAGGTAACGGCTCTTTAAATGTCAGTGTGGGTTTTCTTCCTATGGCGCGACTTCCCGTAGGATTAGGTAGCGCAGCACTTCATTTCATGTAGTAAGTGGGGTGTTTTGTTGCCGTCTTGTTTGTAAAGATATTACACGAGATGAAGTGGCGTCATGTTTCCTTTAAAGTCCGAAGGATTCTCACAATTTATCCTGGGCCAAGAATAGAAAATTGCGACTTCACAAAATGTACACGCACAATTATTCAGGGCGACAAAATATTTAAGCTGAATTTCTGGAGGCATCTGATTTTCGGCAGATGATGCTTTTAAGGTAGGCCTATACGAACGGAGAAACGTTGATAATTACTTGGAAACGGACCTACTGATTTATTGAGAAAAACTTGTTCAAAGTGAAGATAGAGATGATACCAAATGAGACTGTCCCCCCGCCCGAAATGGCATCGGAAGAAAACGATAAGATGGTTTTAAACAGTCTGTCCACAGGCAAGGGGTTCCAGTTAGGAGACCCAAGAAAATTGTGTTTTCTCTTTGTTCGAACATTTTCACTTAAATTTGCTTGGACAATAATATTCTTAAAAACGAGTCTTAAATTTTTGCTTGTATGATGTTCGTCGAAAAGAAAGCTATGAAAGCGGAGTAAAGGGACAAGTCTGTTCGTCAGCTGTTGCATAAGCTGTGATCCTGTGCACTTTTCCCCTTAGGTATAGGTGTACAGCCTATCATGTCGTGCCTGACAAACTTAGGCCTACTGTGGGAGTATTATTGAACACACCAATTCGGAGAAACTGTATCCACCTATTAGCTTTTGCCGATGAATTTCGGTTTTAACGTTGATTTGGCGTGGACTTTAGCACGAGGGGAAGCCCCATAGTATTTGGACCAACATTAATACCCCATGTTTCTCGAAATTCAAACTGAATATTCATGATGTGTATATGCTTATTGTAGTTTGGCTCGTTGTTTTGTTGCATACCGGCAACCGGCCGTGCGCGGTCCGTTTGACATAAAACAAGCTCCAAATTATAATTTTGTTTGTCAAAAACATTTCGATCTTTTTGTTTTCTTTCAACCTAAATTCATTCTCACCCCCGCCCCCTCCCCCGGGACACCTTAGCACCCCACACAAGCTGAGTTGAGTAACCTAAAGTTAAGATGGACAAAAAAAATAATGGTTACGAAAACATTGGAGTGGGCAAAAAAATACACATTTATCCTGCACCCTTGTGACTTGACTTTAAAAAAAAAATCCCATTTGTGACGAAACCAACGTGCTCAAATGCAATTAAATTTTCATTAAGGCGAACGCGGGTAGAATAATTTGCTCTTCGGACAAAAAAAAAATTATGAGAGGATAACTTTTTATTTTTGTGTGTGGTGAATAACAACTTGGGCGCAGACGGGCTTGTGAACTCGACTCGCGTGTCCATCAATTCGAGAGGCGTGGGTGTACTTAGATCCAAACACCCACGCGACATGAGATATAGCAGAATAATGGGTGATGTTATATTTACACTACACAATACCGTGGAAAGCATAGGTGCGGATCCCCCAGGGTATATACGGGGTTCTACCCCGTGACCTTTCTGGGATTAATCTCAAGAGTTGGGTACAAATGGGTTCTTCATCAGCAGTCGACTGATGTACTTGTGACATCTCGTAGACACCGTGGCGCGATGAATATCATTCCTCGGCCGCACTGACACAGTTCATAAAAGATTCAATGCGTTTCCTACGTGAGTGAATACGATCACACGATCCTCGGGAAAAAATGCTGGCAGGATTTGTTTTACGGGATATAACACTATTTTGGGCTCGTTTGTGTCGTAAGGCTCGCTTGTGTCGTAAGTGCGACAAAAACATTTCGCGGAATCGTTTTTTTTTATATGAAATATTGAGATACCTCTTAGTTTGTCCGAAGTCCACAATAGCCTACATGTACAAATGTATATGCATGTGCGTTTTACAATGGGCGTCAGCGGACTGGAGTGTGTAAGTGGGACAGATTGGGTCAAGATAGTTTCAAGTTCAACTTAGATCTTCAGAAATTCTTCATGAGATTTTCCTACTCAAGCTCCCTCTTGCCCGATTTTGAACAGAACTTTTCAAATGAGTTTTTTTCCATATATTGTGTCAGTTTTTATTTTTGAGTTCTCAAAATCGAAGAAAAGTTGGCTTTTAAACCTCAAAACATTAAAGAGACCAAAATGCCAAAACATGACTTCATGCACACGTAAATAAATTGCCATTAACAACAATGATCAATACCCCTTCCTCCTCCTCAAAAAGGGAATACGCTCTCACCTCACGTGTTGCAAGATACACGTCGATAACTTGATGTACACTTGATTTAGGCCGTAGACGAAGATCGAATAGGATATGTCACTTTTACAAATTAGGCTAACAATTATAAATATTCCCAACCGCTCCACATATTTTTTGGGGGCATTATTAGGTAGAAGCCCCTCCAAGACCCGACCCTAACGCCCATCCACGTTAAAAAAGGTCGTTAGAGAGCAAATAAAGGGTTAAAATGCCAAAGATGCGCTCCGTAATGTTTAATTATTATTTAATATTTTACAGGCCGTGAATGTTTGTGAACTAAAAAAAAAAAATCTCCTTACCGCATTTATTGTATTGTAGGTATAGCCAAGGATTTTTTCTTCGCTTCGAATTTGAAAAATTGTCTCATTATTAAAAAAAAAATATACTTCTTTTTAGAAATATATTTTTAATACACCCTCCATTAATCAACATTTTTTTTTATCAGTTTTCTTTTAATCTTTTCCAACAAACAATCGCCATTGAACGAGATGTAAAACGCGTAAAAGTTGCATTTAATTGGAAAAACGTGCAAAATGGGTGCAGGGGGTTGATGCTCCGCAGACGAAATGTAGCTGTTCTCTGACGATCTTCTAACTCCAACCTGCGAAGCAATCAACATTTACATAACAATACTACGTTACTTACATTTAAATTAGCTAATTTACATACACCCAACTAACCTAACTAACTAGGCCTACGTTTACTGGATTCGAACCCGCGCTGGTGACCTGATGGGCTGGCTACTGTCCTGGACTTGTACTACTATACAAAATCGGGACTTAAAAATATGACACTCGCGTCATTTTTAAATTTTGCTAAAACACAGCAAAAAAGTAATTCAATGTGCTCATTTTGCTGTTCGGAAGCATTCTCATCACTAAACAATTTTCTGTATTAGAAACGAAAATAGAATTTTGTGGTTACGCAATTTAAGAACGGAAATTTAAAATATTTACAAATGATGATCGCAAAAAAAAAATCAGTAACGGACAAATTGGAGGTAAGCCTTGATGTGCTGTAATCTGAATGATGTTTTGATTTTTAAGAACCCATAATAGTAGTCGAATCAATTTGGGTATCAGTTATAAATAAGCGTAAAATCTAAAGTTACAAACAGGGATGTATATTCTCGTCCAAACACGAGAAATCCCGTCAATGGAAACGTGATTTCAGAACTATAAATTTTACCATCATTTACCGTGTTTTTTGGTCAAATTTTGCGAAATTTAAAATTGTCGTCTTACATTTCAGGCATTGAATATTGATTTTGTGTCAAAATTTCAACCCAAACAAAATCTCGTGCCAACACGAAATATCGGAAAGTTAACGCGTAACGCGTAATTTGAGATTTAGACTCGTTTCGAGCCATCATGGTCATGGGCGTCGCCAGATTTTTTTTCTAGAGGGGGCAGAGCTCTCAAAATCCTTGCTCTTTCTGTAGCATATTCTCAATTAATCATTTAAAAAAAAAATATTTTGCTTTTCGGGGGGGTGGGGGGTGGGGAACACCCCCTTGTCCCCCTCGCGACGCCCATGATCGTGGTCTCAAAGTTTGCTCCAATAATTAAGAAGATTCGGTCTATTGAGTCAATGATATGTTATGTTACTTTTCGACAACCTAACGGTAAAATGTCATCCATTTTAAATATGTTTAAACTCCAAGAAAGCGAAGTAAAATGAAAAGACTACGGATGAACCTGTAGCGTATGGTCATTTGACATCATACTCGAAAGATACGTGTTCTTTATTTACACTGAAAATAAATTTATTTTTGTTTTAATAAAAGAAGCAGTTATATGTTATATGTGATTTAGGGTTTTTTTTAACTGCAATTTTGGCACCCGATCCGTCGCACCATTATGATTTGTATACATTAATTTCAGCTTCCAATTAATACTTTTAATATATCATTCAAATTTTGATTAATTTTCCTCGTAAAAAAGGAAACGGACAACTGATATCATCACAATCATGAAGGAAAATAACAGAAAATTGTAAAGACATTGCCGTAGCCACAACTTAGTTTGCGGGAAAACGCGATCGTTTTAGTTACATGTATTTCCTTGTCCAAAGAAACAACACGGCCAAAAGCTATAACTGGCTAGGTTTGTTTACAACCGCAGCTGCTATAAATGGGAGCCATAACCGGAAATAAACAGTCCCAATGGGCTGATTCGATGACGTCATACGGCCGAGGTTCAGGCCGGATGACGTCATTTACACATATTGCATTGGGCTGTTTGTCACTGGTTCGCGACCTGATTAGTGCAAAACGATATGATAACAGTATGACGAAACCAGTGAAATCCCATACAGCGTGTATGTCTGTATTTTTTTCGTGCCATCCAAAACGCGTGCAGTATTTTACATGTGAAAATAAAATTTAATAGAATTCAGATTATCCCCTCGGAGGTCGGCTGTTGCTGCAGTGCCGTGCTAAAGAACAGTCCTAGATTTCCTGGTAAAACGTATAACTGATGTTGATGTTGGCACATGGTAATCTCCGTTCACCTGGAAAACCCTGACAGTTGCATTTTCACTGATAAAAAAAAATGAACGGTAAGTGAAGGTTTTGCCATGTCCATGATCATGTTTGCCAATGATGAATTTTTTAGGTAGAATAATGTAGATTAAAATGTTTCTTATTTTAATTATTACAGGGGTAGAGGGCGCTTTGAATTACATTTTCATACTTTTCTTGACACTATGATAAAGGTTCATTGGATATGAATGACAGTGAATATTTGACTGTCAACCGGTCCCCAATTGTTTTCAGTACAGTCGAGTCTCGTTATAACAAACTCGTTCGGACCAAGCCAAATTGTTTGTTATATCAGGATTTTGTATTAAGAGGAACATCAGTCCCATTCATTGTGCACATAAATGCACAGTCGGGACCAAGGCTTTATGTTTGTTATAACCAGAATTTTGTATTAACAGAGTTTGTACTAACGAGAGTCGACTGTATTGTAACGGCACGGGACTTAGAAATTTTTAGCGTGAGGAATCTTCGTCTGGTTCTGTGCTATCATTGTAATTGTATTAAACTTTGTGTTAAAGAGATAGGAATCTGACCTACCGTATTACAATTTCGGACTTTATTTTCCCTTAAAACAAAATCCTCTAGAGCCACAAATCAGTAAACGAAGATGTGATTCGATTTAAAACAATAAAAGAAGACAGTTGTTTCTTTTTTGGGACACAAAAAATACAGTTTCAAAAACCACGGTCGGGCTGGGACTCGAACTCGAGCAGCCTTGCTTGCAAGACGGGCACGCACTAGGCCATGCGTTCGCTCGATGTGAGATGGTGTAGGCCTACTCATATGTATACGCATGCATGAGGGCGCTATGGTGTCTGCTGGCTTAAGAACGGAAAAATGCGGGACCGGTTCACGGCTATAGAGCTGGGGTATCCCAAGCAATCTAGACACCATGTCACACCACAGAGCAAGGAAGCTCCTTGCTCTACGTAGTCTATTGTCACACAAGGCAATTTAAAGGCAACATTTTTACAAAGAATCAAGGATGCCTGCAGACCTAATTAATTCATGAAGCAGTAGAGCACATCCCAGGGGTTGGGACAATCTTTGTAAAGAGTTGGACGCTCGGGACCGGGAGGGCGCATGGAATTATGGCAAAACATTGACCAATTTAAATTAAATTATTGTGAATAAAAGTCGGGGTTCACAAGAAACAAAATTCTCACGACACAATTTGATCTGAGACAAGTCAAAAGTGGGAGTGCATGTACGCATCTTGTTTTAAAAAAATTTAATTAATCATAGAAAACACTTGTATTGGCCACATTTTTAATTGTGTGGTAGCAACCGTGCTGGTCTCTATGTACACCCCTCAGTTGTAATGGAATGAGCCACGTTGAATATTCATGTTGTCGTTTCAGCCCTTAACTGCCTTACTCTGTGCTGCTGGCAACTGGTTTATTGGATATAACTCATTATTAATAGAGGGTATGTTTGGAATGAGAAATAGTAATGAGATTGGTTAAATAGTGTAAGATATCCCAGTATATCACACTACAGAGGGAATTGAGAGCTGCATTGCATACTATGTACATCTTGCTTGTGTCATCTTAAATTCTTAATGGGGATCACAAATTCACGTTATTTTGTTGCCTACAGTTTCACACGACTGGTACTTGTACATTTTACATACAACACAAATGAAATTACATTAGTGAAGATACTATTGTGTATTAAATTTGATACCATTTAACTCATTCTTTATTTGTTTTAAATATTGAACAAACTCAACAAAGTGAATGAGCACAATCATAATCCTACGGTACATACTAATTTTTTTAAGTGCATTTGAAATTGTAATCAAACTTATACAGACTACAGTGAATTGTGAAAATGCTCAGCCTGTGTGTAGCACACATTTTTATGTAATGTCTTTTTTCCTGTTGAACCTTGAACCAAGTCAGGGATTAAGTGTTTTCCATATTAATTTCGAACCAAATCAAATGTAAATGTTCAACTTATTGTACGTTTATTTATTTTGAGACCTGCACATAAAAATGCAGGTCATACTGTGTACATGTTTACCATGTTTTGTTTTTGTTTTTGTTTGTTTTGTCTGTGTTGTTATTTGTATAAAAAACTTGAGATTTTGCCACATGGTGCTACCGCAACAACTTATCTTATTGTACAAAAGGTATACTCAACTTGTTACAGTGAAACAAAGCTTCAGTGTAATACAATGAAACAAATATCAACGTCAGAAATTTATTTGGTACATTTAAACAGATGCCTGTGTGGTGTAATAATTATGACGGACATAACTTATTTTCTTTTTATACATAAATTTCTCACTTGTACAAGGATTAACGCAATGTATACAGTATAGGCTACATTTGTATCCCCATATTGGATGGACCCACACTCCCCAAAATGGATAATTCTCATGTCAATTTGAGGTCATCTGCTAAATATTTTGTGTGCAAGGCCGGGTCCGAATTGGCTACGGCTTGTTTATACACGAGCCTATGGAAGCAGTTGAAGCCATTTCCTATAGACACATGTGTTAATGCCAGCCGCAGCCATAGTCATATGGCCATTATGACTGAATGGTAATCCATTGACTTTTGAGGTCAGGTTGACATGTGTAGCCAAGCATGAAATGAACTTGGCTGAATGCTCAGTCAGGAATGAAGCTTTCATGATTTTATTCTTCCACTGGAAAATGTGTGCAATACTGTCCATGGAAATGTGTTGTCCTTGCTCTATGGTGTTACAATGGAGAAATGCTTTGAATATCAGTCAATGAATAATGGAGATAGTTGTGTACATGCATGAATAAGAGTTGCCTCAAATTTTCCCTTTCAAAACATCTGACTGATTAAAAGTACATACACATGGGTCAGTTCATGGGATCCAAAAGTGTGATATTTCTGTGTCCCTGTGACACCTGACCAGCATAAGTATCATTAAAATTGACTTCACAGTATTTTTATTTGTTTGGCCTGTGTACTCTGCTTTACATAAGGCCCAAAAAAACCAATAATAATTCTGCTTCTGATTACATGGCATTTGAAAATAGGGTAGTTTTTTTTGGCAAATTTGTTGGTGTAGTCTAGATGTAAATGTCTGTGTGTAGTCAAGGGTAAAAGGTAGTAATTGATGGTTTTGGGTGTTTTCTCCCCCTCATTTCCCCTCCCCCCCCCCCTACCCCCCAATCCCCCCCCAATCCCCCCCCCCCCCAGAAAAAATAACAACAATAATGTGTATTTATATACTCAAATAAGTACAATGTACCTTCAAGGAAAAAAAATGTACATACGTATCCTTAATATCGTGTCCCCTGTACATGTCTCTAGTAGAAAGTGCTCAGAACCTCCCCACACCCCCTCCTTCCCCCAGCCTTTTAGGGGAACCACCATTGACTCTCACTATTTGTCGCTGCAGCTCCAAAATGGAATGGTGCAATCAGACTTAGTCTCTGCTGTCAGATGTTCTGATTGTCTTTTCTAAGAACAACGCCTACACAGCCGGAATTAATAGCAGAATCAGATCAATTGGCAGGAGGTACCGCATTAAGGACTTAATGAGAAGAGGCAGGGAATAGCTGAATGGGCTGGGGGTATTAGTTGGGTTACTTGTTGGTTGTCTCTTGTCAAGAAAAAAAAAAGAAGGTAAACTGATTGTGTTATCCATTGAACTGAAGTAAATATACATTTTTTTAAAGGTTGAACCTTGTTTGTTGATGGTAGTGCCCTCAGTAGGTATCACACAGATGTGATGACCATCTGTTTTTACTGTAATTTTAGCCCTGATATCTTTCAGTCTTCCTGCCCGTACATATCAAAAGGTTTGAACTCACTGCCCCTGCTGCATCGACCCATGTACATCTAAACGAATTTGCCGTTTGCTGCCAAAATCATTTTGGCCGAAGAAGCTGTCCAGCACATCATTACCCCATATTATGCAGGAAAGCATTCAATTTGCAACGAGGCAAGAACAGCCACGAACTATATGTCTTGCTTAGAATTTCTACAGGATTCTTCTTGATTGTAGAGTTTGGATAGTTTATATCCACAATTTTTGTCGTCTTTCCCGAACATTGATCGTCCGAAGCCAACAATACATAGATGATTATGCATGTATTGCCTGTTCCCTCTGTCCTCCTACTACTTACGCACACCCAGCAGCACAGGGCTTGTGTTGTGGTAGTTGCCATGGCAACCTACTGGGTAAATCGTTGCATAGGCTGGGATATTTAATGAGTAAGATCCTGGGCATGAATTGTGTATGCACATTGTACACCTACGGTACAGGTCTACGTACATGTACGCTTTGCATGGCCATTTGTGCCTGTATATAATTCGACCCGTTTTTGAAACTGTTTTGCACATGAATTACTCTGGTATTAACAGTTCTAATTAAAAAAAATTTAAATAGATGTCAGGCAAGCATATTTTCCTCTGATTTGCTGATTTTTTTTTTTTTTTTTTAATAATCCCTTGTCACTTGTCTGCCATCAAAAAATGATGAAAAAACACTGTTCAAAATCTTTTGAAGCCTTGGAATTTCCTCTGTGTTGTGGCTTTACTTTTTATACATAAATTCCTCATGTACCGGTACTCGTCTGTTATTTTTTTGAGCAAGAAAAAAGGAAAAGAAATTAGTAATTTGCCAAATTATTTGCACATTGATATTATTTTTTGTATAAATTAATTAATTAAAAAGAACAGCTGAATAGTTTTGCGCATGTTACCGGTATGTGCACATGTTCATGTACATTGTACATGAAAAAAAATGTTCTGAATTCGTGGAATTTCCTCTTTTTTGTGTGTGTGGCTTTACAGTTACATGTACCTGAACATGTACATTCCTAATATACTTGTGTACATTGCACATGTTTCCATGTGAATTTTCTAAGAAACGTTGACTTGTGATTCTGTTGACATCAGGTTGTACGTACAATACATGTATACATGTATGTATTCATGATGTACATTGTACATACGCTACAACCATGGCAAAATGAATTCATGCAACCTGCATTGTGCCATCAGAAGAGTTTCTCTGTACATGTACATGTACATGCCTGTACGGTGGCACACATGTATGCAACCCCTCACCCAAATCATTAATTAATGACATCAATCAAAGAGGGATATTTCCCTTGCCACTATATACCTGGTGAATATTTATAAATCAATTGCCAGCACACTGGCCAATGAATAAAGTGGGCTCTTCCAGGAAAGCCGGCCCACACACATGGCTGTGTGATGGTTATGCTAATAGCAATAATTTATCAAATTTGTAAAGTTTCGTCTCCCTCAGAAATGGCTAGGCTATATTTCACTGTTATACATGTTGTACACCTTAAAAGTTACGTGTGTATAGGATCAACAATGGGCTATTGTTGTTTTTGTTGAACTGTCCGATTTTGTTGTTGTTAATGGAACAACGTTTTAGGTGTACCCAAAAAGCAGAAAGGCTTTCAATCTGCACAATTGAATATGAATTGCAGTGAAGTGTGACACTGACAATTGAAAGGAAAAGACAGTTTAAATTGTGGTAAAAGGTCCAATTCGTGACGGACAAACGGTGAACAAATGCAATACAGCGAATATTGTAAAGACTTGTATGTATTGTATGAGTATCAATACATGTACGGTACATCACTAAAAACTGTTAATGGGACATTGTGCACTGTGAAAAGAATACATTCGGAATGTGGGGTAAACAGTACAACTAAAAATCCTATGTACATGTACGGTGCAATGTGCATTTATGTATACAACTGCAGTTACCTTTTCTTGTACAAAAAATGAATTACTACACATGTATGTAGAAACATGGCTGTGCAGTGTTATTATTGCATTGATAGGAAGTAGAGCTTACCCCCTTTTTACTAGGAACCTTCCTCACTCTTGCAAAATCCAACACCATACATTTATATGACAACTCAACGCCCAAACTGTTGGACTCTGATTATGGTGGTACCGGTATGTACCCCATGCCAAATTTGGAAGGGTTGGGGTGGTTGGGGTTAAGAATTTGTTGTCTCTTGTGTGTGTGGGTGTCTTTGTGTGTTTAGTATGGTACTAAGCATATCAGAAGTTCTCCATTTTACTATTAAAATATTAAATTTACTTGTCAATTTCTGTGGCGTATCTGTGACATGCACTTGGCACATTTTGCAGTAAAAGATAAGATCTCCCTTTCTCCGAGTCTGAATCCCACCCAGAATTCTAAGACAATTTGTCCGCCTGTATGAAACAGCGCCCTCATGTGACACGTCTGAATATGTTTTTACGGAATCCTTGGCAACTGTTGTGAGAGAAGACAGTGAAGTCCCCAGTTATTTGGACCTGGTTCTCGTTGCGACAAAAAGTGCAGACAAATTTAAATCGACAGAACAACCTCCCTTTTAAAATTAATCCCTAATATTTTCCTTCTTTTCTTTTTATACATACATGTATATCCCTCTCTCTCCCTCGGACAATCTATCCTTCACATTTTTACTTCCCCCACATTGACCTTTTCTCTGATCTCACTCTTTTTTTTTTATCCCATCTCTCCCTGTGTTTCTCTTCTCTCGGTGCTGGCACCGCAGGACCGTGTAATTCCCCATTCAAGGACTTCAACCCACTCCTTTCGGTGAGCCGGTAAAGGTTACATGTGCATGCATGTGCCGTGCGGATACTCGTGTGCAGGACTCGGCGAAGGCAGTAGTGGAAGCGACCAGCCCACCTTGCCCGCGGTTCAGCTGACTGGGCAGACAGCTAGCAGCACAGACAGCTAGCTCAGAAGCACCCCAGCGCACACGGTAACGGTAGATGACGAGACCTAGTGGCAGGGGTCATTAGATCTGGCGTGATAAGGACAGTAAGACAAGGAGTGGGGGAAACGGCTTCCGGTGTGTGGGGAGACACTGCAGCAGACTGCGATTATAAAACACCACTCATCCCACAGGTGAGAAATCAAATGTTATATTCAGCAATACATTTTTTTTTTATTCATACAGCGATATTTGTTTGTGTTACTGGATTCTAGAGGAACACCTCAATTCTGGGAACTGTTTTTAACATTTTTGTTTTTGAATTGCTTTATTAAATTTAAATGAGTTTCATTTATTTTATTGAGCATACATGTACATGTAATTTGCATAATTGAAGAGGACAGATATATGACAATTACCAGATGACTGTCTGAGTCAACGTTAACATAACCTACATGTGTACATGCAGTCCCTTTATTATTGCAGACAAAGCATTGATATCTCGATGAAAAATTAGTCTCAGTGAAAATGTTCATGCCAGATCAGGGCTGGTCGAAAACAGTCCATACTGGAACAGATCAACCATAAAGGTCTTCACAATCATAGTATTGTTGATTCAAAAAAACAAACTGGCACAATTTCTAAATTGTGTGGCTCAATTAATAACTCCCTAGGCCTTTTTGCTAGGATGTAGCCTCAATCCTGCAAAATCCTCCAATTGGCCTCTTGGAAAAATAGCATAGCCTCAATCCTGCCAATTCCTCCATTATTTCTTGAATATGGTCCGTGGAGGGGTGACCACTGCCCGAATCCTGCAAAATCCTGTGGCAGTGACTGTCAATATGTTCCTGGAGCAGTACGGAGGATTTAAAGCTTAATCCAGGCCTATATTTATGCATGGCCGAGCAAAAACAACACAAGGTCCGGCCCAAGACCTTGACAAAGTGCATCCTCCGAAATCAGTAACGCACTTTTGCCATGTAACCTCAATCCTCCAAATTCCTCCACTTTGGCAAAAAGGATTTTGAAGGATTCAGGGCGGTTAGGGTTAAAAACAAAAATCACCGTGCGTGCACATAATCATTAAAATATGTACCCCATACCAGCAGCCACCAGAAAGCATCAACTGCCCCCGAAACCGCGATCAAAAATTGTCCCAAAAATTCCAGTCGACGTTTAGCCGCATTTCAAATTCCAGCCGGATTGGACGCATTTGGGAAACGGTAAGGTGCAGCTTGTCGCAGACGTGTGTGATTTGACTGATCACATTAGGTTAGAGGTACATGTAGGCCTGCTATTTTCATCTCTTTTTCCCTAATAGAATTACCCTTCGCCCTGGCGTTCTTCCTAGTTCCCCATAACTAACTGTAAGAGCACGCATCCGTGACATACCTGTGCATACATGTACTATTCACGTGTTATATTGAGGGTCGAGACCTTATAAATTGTTGTTTTTGGAACACGATGGGGAACCCGGGTGATTCATATCATCGAAAGTTGCCACAACTTTTGTTGAGTTCTACATTTTGTAAAGTCCTGCCTTTCTTTCAATATAGGGCATCTTTTCAATCAGTCTTTCAATTTATTTTTTTTCACAATGGGTGATTTCATGATTCACATTAATTTGCAAATTGGACCGATTTTGCTTAAATATCTACTGTTAACACTTGAAACTTTTTTTTTTATAAACCAAGTAACTGTCGTTATTTTTCGTGTTTCAGGTTATTATTACCTATAAATCTCAGAAGGAAAGAGAAAAAAATGTGTATTTCTTACAAAAGAAAAATCCGTCAATTTGATTAAGCAAATCATGACAGCACTCCCAATCACCCTGAATTTGGCTTTTTGTAGGCAGTGACAATCTATTTTTGTTACTTTAAATATCCAGCCTTCATGCATCAGGGTAACCCTGTAAATGACCATTCTCATGCTCTTTACTGAAGTCCTAAGCAATTCCGGCCCGGTATCTCTCGGCACTCATCCAAGCCGGATAGAATTCAGTGAACAGGCCTTGACACTTTGACACACCAGAGGCCGAAGTCAAACACCCACGGTACTATCCCGTCATCGGTGTCGCATGGGAATCTCACCTTTGATTTTTTTGCATATGCCATGGACGGACGCCGCCTCACATGTGAATTTTGTCAAGTGCGGAGGGAAGAGTGACGGTTTCTTGGAATGGAGGCCATCTGACCGACACGTATCACGTCACCAAGGGTTTTTCAGTCTCTCGCTCTTTAATGCAGTAGACGCTGTTAATTGAAAACAAAATCTGACTCCGATACAAAATTGAAAGAGAATGGTGTTTACAAACTAACACTCACAGATGCTTTATTTTGACCAAAAGTAAAGCTCCCTTTGACATCAATTCATTTTCAGGAGTGTACACTAACTTGATCTACGTGTACGTACATGTATAATGTGTTCGTATTGCAGTTGGCTGACTGTACTTTCAAAGGCACAGAATTTTAGTTCTTAATGTAAACAGACCTTCCTTCGAGAGCTTGACCCTCTTTACTGTTTGCCCATTAGTTCACTTGCCTAAGAGCTGCTTCTTTACACCCTTAAAAGTATCACAGATACCATACTTGTAAGGCTTTCCTTATTTTCTTAAGTTACAAAACCACAAAATTGATGAGGTTTATGGCGAAAGAGCACGATGCTGAAACAATGCAAGATGTATACAAACAATCAACCACAAATTTGATAACTGTGATGTTACACATTTTTCACAAGAAACTGGGGGCATTTTATCACATATACATGTATGATAAGCATCATCCTGCAAGGTGCGTGATAAAACCCCACCACATGTAGAAAGACGAGAGGAGAAAGAAAGAAAAACGAAAGCAGAACAACACAGCAGGGTTGGTTGGATGTCACGGCCACTTAACCCCAGGCGTTTGATAGGGTCTCACTACCGCATCAAAAGCCTCCTCGAATCAAATCGGAGTTTTGTTTGGTCTTGACTTAAATGTCACCACCAGTGGACGTACATGTAAGGTACCTGGTAAACTATGCCCGTCAGCTTGAAGCCTTGATAAGTAAAAGGTCAAGTGACTACCAGTCTGTATCCCTGATCACTAAACTCGGGGAGATGCTCACGGCTTCAAGAGCAAGTTGAAGATGGAGCGGTGTCTTATACTTGCCCCTGTGGAGTGTTTGGAAGCTGTGTACATGTAGCTAGGCATTCTGCCCACAGTTAGAATGCACATCCGCATTTGCAAAGACTTTGCTGCTTGTACTGTGAATGTGATATTGAAGTTAATTTCTTTATAAAAAAAATGAAAAAAACCAAAAAATTTGTTAAGAAATGCTTCTTGCAAAAACTGAAATGTCTCACATCTTGTCTCTCAAACTCAATGCCGATGAAATCATCTGCACTTATAATTTGCGTTATTATATAAGTCCTTGTTATGATACGGTACTTTTATATCAATATACCAGAACTGTAACATTTTACAATGAATGTATAATTTGCGAAACCATCCTTGTTTATACTCTCATTACTCAATCAATACTTTTTCACAAATGCGGACCTAGATGTACATTTTTTTAGGTTACAAATTAATTGCCACACTAAATGCCAGTTTAGGATGAATTCATTTTTTACTCATCATTTTATTGGTGATATCCTGGCAAGCTCGGGTTTGACAGGAAAGTACACATCTGCAAGCACTGTGCGTGTGTACATGTACCGGGTATATACAATGTAAAATGTAGACAGCAGATCTAATTAGGCCAGGGATTTCATTAGTATTAACAGTGATTTAATTAAGGGGCACATATTCCACCACCCCACTGGCTGAAGGACCAACGCAGCGGTGTCACCGCTATTAAAAATCCGCGTCTGTTGTCATATTCTCGTCAACATTGAAATGTGCGCCTGCAGGCGAGCGTTATTGAATTTTCAGGGGGAGACGTCGCTTGCTTGTTTGCCGTACCAATTTGGCACTTGAAAAGTGATACCGGTAATTTGCGAACCTGAATTTCCAAACGTAACGACTCCGAATGATTTCTTTTTGTGCTGGTTTACACTGAAATGTTTTTTTTCATGTAGTCTGTATTTTTCAAGCAATTCAGAGATCAAGAACTCCTTGTAATATCAGTCGTAGGAGATTTACATGTACACGGATGTACAACAAATGTATGGCTGTCCATTTTCGAATAAGTTAGTATTCGATTACTCGAAACTTTGTTTGACCGAATATTTGGATATATTCGAAAGTGCCAGGTGTAACTGCGTGTCGCGCCTGTCAAAAGTTGCACGCACAGCGCGCCAGTTAAAATTCAGTTCGGCGATCGATGTGGAGTGTTTTGCAGTATGTATTTTATAACTCAAAAGGTTTTAACCTGCTAAAAGGATAGCAACAATGAACTGACGAAAAAATTACCGTTGACAAAAAAAGTAGCACTTGGCAATAAAACGCCGCAACTGTATAACAAAATAACATCACTGTCATGTGTACATGTATGTTGATAATTTTTTTTGTTTTTGAATATTCAAAGCGGCAAAAAGCTATTCAAATATTCGGCTGATGATCGAATATTCGAATATTTGAGACAGCCCTACACGGATGTTTGTAAATTTTGGGGTGGGCAGACCAGTCTGCTTAGTGAAAATAGAAAATTTGTTAAATTTTAAATATGTTCCAATTTGTTTTGTCCAAGTACTGCCCTAACAAACCCCTTTACATACATTGTAGAGCGCCCTCACTGGGGATAGTTTTTATTTTAAAGGTTCCTCTGTGGTGCACATGAGTAAACACGTGCGAATAGCGACCTCTTCAGTGCAGATCTACCGATATGAGGACATAAGTTTTCAGCATACATGTATTAAAATTAGTCACAACATTTTGAAAGTGTACTGGTACATGTATACTTGTATGCATACGTAAACTTTCAATATTCACATTTAAAGCTCGAAGTCATTGATATTTTCATAATGCTCCAAGTTCATTACGTGCCACATTGTAATCGAGGGAATTCCTCGGCAGTGTCCTTTTACCGGGCTAGAATTTCCCCTCAGCCCGTCGTCTGAAACGAACGTGACAGGTTCCATTATGATTAAGATCCAGCGCATCAAAGAGTAACAGGCAAGGAATGCGGTTTCACTATCTGGTGTGTTATTCATTTGAATGGTCCAAGTGTAGATATCTGTAGTGAAGGTCGGTTGTGGTTTATCCTGTAATTT